TGATGGTTTCTACTCTAGGCTGTTGGGAATAATGCAGCTATGAATATGGGTGTGTACATATCTGTTCAAGTGCTAGCTTTCGATTCTTTTAGATATACAGTATTCCTAGAAATGGAATCACTGAATCATACAGTGCTATATTTAACTTTTGAGGCACTGCCAAACTATTTCTCTCACCAGCTGCCCCATTACATTCTCACCAGCAGTGCCTGACAGTTTCGATTTCTCTATATCCTCAACAGCACTTGTTAATTTTCATTTTTGGATAATAGCTATCCTGTTGGGTGTGTCAAAAATTTTTAAACATCCACTCTGGTGAATGTTGGGTGACTCAGAAGGGCAGCTTACCATAATGAAGAATTGTTTCCCTCCAGTTACTAAAAAGGTTCAGTGGCTTAAGCTAGTGTCAATATAAGAGAGAGGAGGTACAGGGATTCTGACTATGATAGTATATATTTATTCAGAAGATATTTCATTTAAAAAGAGGTTTTTGTGTTTCTTATGTGACTTAAATATGTAGACTCAGGAAGCAGCTGAAATTCTCAGGTTCAGAAGGAGTACAATTTAGCTCTTGGATATATATGTAAGCTGCTTGGACATACAAGTCAGCTCTTGGATTTGGCTTTTAAAGTTATGATTTAATGGTTTGAACATTCTTTAGGGATAAACTTTTGTAAGAAGGCCCTTGAGTGTACCTTTTATCCTGCTTTCTCTTTCGCCTTGCGTGATATACGCTGTACATAGTCTCAACATGTGTTCTAAGAGCATCACCCCCGCCACACACACACAGTAGGACCAGATAGGAAAGGCTCTGAAAGAAATAAAAACTATAGCCATGTTCAGATTGTACCATTGTGAGGCTAGGGATTTAGTTCAGTGGCATAAACACCTGCCCGACAAGTGTGAGGTCTCGTGTTTGATCCCTGGTACCACAAAATAAAAACAAATTGTACCATTGCTACTTAAAAATTAACCATTTGATCCTCATCGCATCAGAGTTCCTTTTGTTTTGAGTGTTTGCTCATGCCTGTGAGGTGGTGTTTTTTAATGCATCCAAGTTCAGCAAATCTATTGGCGAATGTTACTTCTGATGGGCTGCTGTTCATTTTCTCTTTAGGAACACATAGAACTCTAATTGGAACCGATGTACCAGTGCTGTGAAAAAAGGAAGTAGCTATTTGGGAAATTGAGTCTTTCCCTGGCTTTCACCTCTCCCAGGAAATAACTAGTCTTCAGGGAAGGGTGGAAGGTTCTGTGATAAATTTGGGAAATGATAATCTGCTTTGTTCACCTCTTGTGATTTATAATGTAAATATCACCTTAAAGTTTCTAAAAATTCTTGGAGTGCAGGAATCACATTTAGGACCTTGCGCTTGCCACACAGGCACTATGCCACTTGAGCTATATTCCTGGCCCTGTGGTGTTTTTTAGACCTCACCACTTTCATTTGAGTAACCAGTTAAGATTCCTTGAAACAAATATAATGGAAACTAGATCACTGTTGCTTTTTTCTCTTTTCTTCTTCGTTTTCTTTTTTTTTTCAATGCAGTTTTGCTAAGTTGTCTCTGGCCTTGAACTTAAAATTCTCCTGTCTCAGCTTCCTGTGTAGTTGGCATTACAAATGTGCATCACCATAGAACATTTGTTATATTTTAAAATGAAAGCTTTAAATAAAACATGGATATTCTTGATTCTAAAAAACTGTGAAGTCATCCTGAGAAGTGATGACAGTTTCTTCTCTGTTACTGTATCACCTAAGCATTAATGAACTCTCAGATATAGGATAGTTTTTGAGCAGTATATCACTATGGAAGATGCTGTGTAGTGATAATTTCTATTGAATTTTTTGTGGTTATTTTACAATATTTGAAACAGTACTAAGCAATTCTGGGAAATGGGTTCAAAATATTGAGAATAACGATAATTTGTTGTGAACAGAGCTCATTAGTTTTAAAGACTGAGAGAGCTTCATTATTGAAAAGGAGGCTCATTACTTGGAGTAGAATTAGTCTTTACCCAGTCTTGTTTGAGAGACTAAGCGAAGCAGACTCTTAGGACTTTAAATCCTCAAGTGAACAAGCTCACTCCTTTACTTAGGGGATATTGTTTTTTTTTTTTTTTTTTTTTTGAAATAGCACCTTTTAAAACATTTAGCCTTGCTGCCAAAAAATGTCACAGATGTTGAGTTTCTGAGCTGGACGAACCCATAGAACAACGAAAGCACTGGCAAAATATACTTGTTGATGATAATTACCTTTTCAGATTTATTTTATTACTGTATCCTAGTAATCTTATTAATTCTTACAATATCCTAATTACATAGTTCAGAAAATTATTTAGATCTCAGATTTGGGAGCTAATGTGTAAACTTAACTTTTTTTAATTCATAAGGCTTTTTAGTTTTAATTATAAAATCAAAACTGGGATCAGATCTCTTATCTCTCAAGTGCTTTTCTTTTTTTTTTGCTGACTTTATTAAATGATGTTTGTTTTGATATTTTAAAATAAAATTTCAAAGAAACGCTTGAATTTGTATGAAGGTTTCATGACTTAACTCAGTTTTCAGGAAAGTGTTGTGGTTTTTTTCCAGCCAGATAATATTTTGGGGTTTAATTATATTTTTAAAATTATGTTTAACTTTTATATAATGCTTCATCTTGACAAGGTTCATGCATGTATACAACATATTATCATTTTTACCTCCCTTATCATCCCTTTATCCCATCCTCCGTGTTTTGTTTTGTTTTCATGTGTTTGGTTTTGTTTGAGACAGGATCTCACTATGTAGTCCAGGCTGGCCTCAAACTTTGGGTTATCCTGCCTCAGCTTCTTACATACCTGTAACCTCTTGCTGGGGATATAGGTGTATATCATGATTCTCAAGCTTCCCTAAAGATGACACACATGAAGTTTAGAAAGATTGTTACTCAGTGTTGTGCATTTGGAGGTGAAAGCTATGTGATTAAAACTTAGCCCTTTTTTAATTGAACATTTTCCTGATAAACTAAGCTGCTGGAAGACAGTTATCTTTGGTAGATACTAGTAAGTACACATTGAATAGGACTCAGTCTGTTCTGAGTCCATAGTCCTGTTGCTAGTAAGGGTAAATTTTCAGTTTTATTTACTTATTTTCTTTCTTTTTTTTTTTTTTTAAACAGGGTTTCACTATGTAGTTCAGGCTGGCCTCAAATTTTGGTTATCCTGCTTCAGCCTTTGAGCATAGGCATTACTGTTGTGTAATCCCAGCTAGTTTTCAGCTTTTAGGGTATGTCAGATCTTTCTCCTGGAAAGATCCAAGTTATAAGCCAAGATTGCACTAGTCTATTTTGTTGAATGTGCAACTTGAATTAAATGCCTTTTTGGCATTTAATAGGTCTTGAAAAGATCATTGATCTTACTTCTTTTTTGACTTTTTTTTAAAAATCAGTACCAGGGATCGAACTTACAACTGCGCACTTGTAAAGCAGGCACTTATGCCACTGAGCTAACTCCTCAGCCCTGATCTTACTTCTTACAAGAATCAAGGAAAGAATTAGAACTGCAGCTGTGTTTTAGTAGTAGGACCAATGCATGGGGTTATCTGAGTAAGAACTTGCCTTTTGTGGATGCTTGGATCAATCCATATAGATTGTTTCCTTGCTTCTAGGGCCAAGCTGAACACCACATACTGTTTTTTTAGGCTGGCCCAGTGATCTCAGAATGAGAGCCCACCAGAAATGAGAGACCAGGAAATACAAATTGTAGTCAGTTTATTATTTTGATTATGTAGAACACTTACTGAGTCCCTTTGCATCTTTTATTTATTTAGCAAGAGTTCTTTGAAATTGAAATAATCTTCCTACCACAAATCTGAGAACTAGGGGATATACATTTAAATTAACTATTTATATTTAAGAAAACTAAATTAAAATTAAATTAACTATATTTAAGAAAATGACACTCCATCTAAACTGCATAAAAAGGAGGATAGGGCAGCAGTCCTCAAACTCATGATTGCTTGGGCTTTATTAAGTCAGTTTACTGAGATCCATTGCTATGGATTATGTTGTAGGATGGGACTAGTGCCAAAGATTTTTGGATTTCTGACAACTTTCTGGGTTGATGATGATCCTGGGCAAAGTATTGATTTAGAAAAAGAGGTTGCAACTGTTCTGTTTAGTTCTTCCAAATTAAGGTGTGTGTATATAGGGATAGGGAATGAACATTTAAATCCCCTCTTGACAACCCTGTAACAGATGGTTTGGAATCATAAATTGTAGCTTAACCCCTGAAACCATTGTGCATAATGGTCCTCACTTTTTTGAGATAGGTCTCACTGTGCATTTCAAGCTAGCCTTGAGCTCACTTTGTAGCTCAGGTTGGTCTCAAACTCCCAATGATCCTCCTGCCTCAGCTCTCCAAGCACTGAGATTACAGGCATGCACCACCATGCTCAGTCTGGTCCTTACTGCTATTCCTCCAACGTATACCTTCTGAAACATGCTGAAGTAATTCTTCAATGACTGTTTCTACTTAATAACTCAGAATAATGTTGATATATATGCCATTTAAGTATGATTTTACTTAATGTAGAGGACATGTTAAATTTTAGTATATTATGTATTCATTACTGTTTTCATAGATTTATGAAAGATAAAATGTAGATTAATTTAGCAGTAATAATTATATGATAGATGGAATTAATATTGAGATATTTCCTCATAAGTAACAGAAAATAAAAGAAATTAAATACGATTTTATTTCAGATCACAGGAAAGATGAGGGTATGCTATTTGGGGTGGTTTTTTTAAAACCTTACCAATTAGTTATTGACCATCCCTGTTTTAGAAGCAAACAGGTGAAGAAATGATGAATTTCAGAAAGTAGATACTAAGATATGACTAAATTTTTGAAAATGTAACCCATAAGACTTACTGTTTAAAGTATTCTTTGTTAATGTTTTTGAAAGGTTAACTTGTTTGCAGTGAAACACAGTGAAATTACTCTGTGTTGTTTGACAGAATTGCACAGAATTATTAAAGAGAGAAAAGCAGTGATCCAATCAGTTGAATTGAAGGATTCTGGAGAAACCTACTATTTACTGTGAAAATTATCTTGGAATTAAAAGTAAAGCTGGAAAGGAATTTACAAACAAGGAAAAAACGAAGTTTGGAATTGGACACACAGGATCTGGGCTTGGAAATGCCTCAGGTAAATCATACAGAGTAGATGCAAAGTGTTCTCATTTTTTCATGAAAGTCAGTACTGCTGGTTTTGTAAATTCTCTGATTTTTAACACAACTTGATATATTACTATTGTTTTTTATCTCAACTAGTTTTGAATACATGTCCTGTCTTCCATTGCTTTTACTTGTATTTTTGTGTTTGTGACTTGTTTTTAACTTGGATGAATTTGATATAGCAAAGCACAGCCGTAAGTAGGTTAGAAGGTGAGTAATCTGCTACCTTTATGGGGATTAAACCAATTCCCCTCACAATTAGCTTGCAACAGTAACTCCTTTTCCATTTCCTCTGGCTTCTTTGTGATTCTCACTCTTCTATTTATGACAGTTTAAAACAGGTGTCTAACTAAGACAAGGAAGAGCTAAAGTCACCCAGCTCTTGTGTTCTGAGTTGCCTCCCTCTGTCCAGGGATAGAGCTTAGTGGTAACAGATCTTGCCTGGGTTTTTAGGTGTTGGCATTGGTCAGCCCCCAGACATAAGAAGTTAGACCTTGGGGTTAGTCCTTGGACACTAGCCAGGTGTTCACCTTAATCACTGGCTCAAAAATACACCCGTCATCTGTATCTGGCTCTAGATAGCACTGAATTAGAAGTAAAAGGAAACTGGGGGACTTTAGCCTCTCCACCTCATCTGTCTGTCTGTCTGTCTCTCTCTCTCTGTCTCTCTCTCTTTCTCTCTCTCTCTCACACACACACACACACACACACACACACACACATGTCTACGAATGATTGTAGCATAGCATCTGCTTTGAATTGATCAGTTTGGTTTGGAGGTGATCATTGAAACAATAAATATTAATTCCCAGACTACTTATCCAGACTCCTTTTCTTCCCTTTCCAGTGGTTAGCTCTTAACCCTCCCCAGTGTCTGTTTTAGTGTTGGGAAGAAACAGAAATAATCAGCCGGCAAGGACTCTGAAAAGGAGCCTTGTGTAGAGCTGCGTAGAACTATCCCTGAGCATTGGGAATCAACAGCTTCTTGAGACTCTGGGAAATCATGGAGGTAGGCAGCAGAAACAGAGGAAATGCTAGCAAATAGTAAAATGAGCAGAAGACTCCCTCTACCCTAATCCCTGTGCCAAGTAGATTGCATATCCTCTTTGAGGCTTCTTGCCCAAACAAGATTTACTTTACCATTTAATGAATACTTGAATTGAGGGGTATACAACTTTTTTTCTCAAGCTAAAGTTTTCTAGGAAGAAAGGTCTTATAAGCTTGGAAGGGTTAGGGAAAAAGAAAGAGAAAAAAAGGAAGGAAGGAAGAAGGGGAAGTACCATACGAAAAGTCTTCCTCTTGATAAATAGTATGTGAAGAGTATAAGAAAATGATAACCATTTTAAAAAATTTCTCCAGAAATTTGCAGAGAAAAAAACAACAGATGGAAAAAATTATTCTTCCTCATTCTCTTCCCTCATTGGAGGTAGATTTGAAGAGAGAGATCTTTCTATTATGTGAGCATGAGCCAAGACTTTAGAGTGATTTGGATAGCTGTTGAAATGTAAAAAGGGGAGGGGGGAGAAATAACTGAGAGAGTGGAGGCGCTTTTTTTGTTGTTTTTTGAGACAGCATCTCACTATATAGCTCAGGCTGGCCTTGACCTTACTGGCCTTGAATTCATGGTGATCCTCCTGCCTCAGCCTCCCTAGTGCTGAGATTACAGGTGGGTGGCCACCACCATGCCTGGCCTAGTTGAGTCTTTTATTTTTTCTTTCTTTCTAATTTATTATAAAATGAATTGTACCCTTTTCAAGATGAAGACTGTAGTAGTCATGCTCAGATTTGTGGTCATATTTAGATGATTCAGAGGTTATTTTGTTGCTCTTTGTTTGGACTAAAGAAGACCAAATGGTCTTACAGTTTCTTTTGGGAAACATTGGACACTCTTTGAAGTACAGAGTGAGATTCTGCAGCTTCCAGGAAATGGCAAGAAGTTTTCTGCTTGAAATAGGAATTAGAACAGAGTTTTGTTAGAGAAGGATTTGAAAAAATACTGCATAACTAAATAAAATTACTCATTAGATGCTATATATTGATTCTGGTTGCTAAGAAAAATTTTAAAATTTTTAGGCATTTGTTACTTTTAGCATTTGCTAGTTTCTTTTCCACATGTTAGGTATTTTCCTCATCTCAGTCCACAGTTTAATGCTAGTTGAAACTCTTAAATACAGTAGAAAAATACAGAATTATTTTCTGAAAAATAAATGACTTAGAGGTAAGAGTGGGGGCCCATGTATTATAAATTGGTCTTAAAGTGGTCTTTAATATTCTAAAATGAAAATCACTCTATTGTAGCCTAGTGTAAGCGGAATGGATCCGCCTTTTGGGGATGCCTTTCGAAGCCACACCTTTTCAGAACAGACTCTGATGAGCACAGATCTCTTAGCAAACAGTTCTGATCCAGATTTCATGTATGAACTGGTAAGCAACATTTTCTTGGTTTTAGCTTTGATTGATTTGGGTTAAAAGTGTAGTATAGTTCTTTAATTTGTAAATGTTTGAAAAGAAAAAAAATTTGGACTAGGTTTGATTCTTGGAGTGTAGGCCTGGTAATTTTAAAAGGATATATGAGCACATCAAAGATGCTAAGAATGAAGATCATCTAAGTATCTTCAAGTCCAGTTTTTGATGAGAATGAGGAATTTTTTTAAAAAATGCTGAACCAGGTGTGGTGGTATACACCTGTAATCCCAGCATTTAGGAAGCTGAAGCCGGAGAACTGCTGCAAGTTTGAGGCCAACTTGGGCTACATATTGAGATCCTGCTTCAAATATCAGTGGACCATTAGGAATATTTTACTTTTTATACTCAAGAATTGTTAAAAGGTCTTGCAGAAGGTCTTATTCTATGACTGAGTTCCAGTTCTCTCTGTGTTGTTGTTTGCCTCTGTACTTAAGTTCCTGCTTAAGAAAATATATCCTCGGGGCTGGGGATTTAGCTCAGCGGCATAAGCGCCTGCCTTGCAAGCAGGCAGTCATGAGTTCGATCTCCAGTACTGATAAAAATGAAAAAGACAAAAAAAAAAAAAAAAAAAAAAAAGAAAATATATACTCTTGTAATGTAGATAAGTTCTTCATTAGTTGCTTCTTTTTTATAAGACAAGGTCTTACCATGTTGCCCACATTAGCCTATACCAGGCAATCTTTCTGCTTCAGCCTCCTGAATATCATTATCACTGTTCAGTAGTTTTTTGTGTGTGTGGTACTAGGGATTTAACCCAGAGTAAGTGCTCTACCACTGAGCTACATCTCTAGCCCCCATCTCCTTTTTTTTTAAGACAAAGTCTAGTTACATAGACCAGGCTTGATTTAAACTGGTAACCTCCTGTCTCACCCTCCCAAGTTCTGGAGTTATAGGTGTGTGCCTTAGGTCCAGCTGTTGTCTGTGTAGTGCAGACGGGCCTTGAACTTGCTTATGTAGCCCAGGTTGGCCTCAAACTCACAGTGATCTTCCTGTCTCAACCTCCCAAGTACTGGAATTAATAAGTATGTGCCACCGTACCCAGCTTCAGCTGTTTTAAAGATTATTTTAATTTTCAGACAATGTCTTGCTGAGTTACATAGGTTTGCCTTGAACATTTCATCCTCTTGCTTGTTTCCCAAGTAGCTTGTATTACTGGCATGTACATCACACCCAGTTTATTTGTTTATTAATTGCAGTTTATTCCTAAAGACCCTCAAAGTCTCTTAAGACCAAGAACTGTAAATTTATTTCAGGAATATTTATGGTAAAGCTTAAGAGCTCTTGACATTTGGGCCATACTTAAATCTCTCAAGGAACATTATCCCCCCCTCACTTTTTCTTGCCAACTAAATGATGTTGTATTTGGGATAGTACAGTGTTATGTCAGTGGCCTTTATTTTAAAACAGACCAGAGGTAGAGTACTGATTTATCAATGATATATGCAAATGAAGATGGAAGTAGTTATTTGCATCCTAAAATACAGTGTGTGATTGTCTTTTTTTAAAACTTTTCTTAGGATAGAGAGATGAATTACCAACAGAATCCTAGAGACAACTTCCTTTCTTTGGAGGACTGCAAAGACATTGAAAATCTGGAGTCTTACACAGATGTCCTGGATAATGAGGGTGCTTTAACCTCAAACTGGGAACAGTGGGATACATACTGTGAAGACTTAACCAAGTACACCAAACTAGCCAGCTGTGACATCTGGGGAACAAAAGAAGTGGATTACTTGGGTCTTGATGACTTTTCTAGCCCTTACCAAGATGAAGAAGTCATAAGTAAAACTCCAACTTTGGCTCAGCTTAATAGTGAGGACTCTCAGTCGGTTTCAGATTCCCTTTATTACCCTGATTCACTTTTTAGCGTCAAACAAAATCCCTTGCCCTCTTCATTCCCTGGTAAAAAGATCACAAGTAGAGCAGCTGCCCCAGTGTGTTCCTCAAAGACTCTTCAGGCTGAGGTTCCTTTGTCAGACTGTGTCCAAAAAGCAAGTAAACCCACTTCAAGCACACAAATTGTGGTGAAGACCAACACATATCATAACGAAAAGGTGAATTTTCATGTTGAATGTAAAGACTATGTAAAAAAGGCAAAAGTAAAGATCAACCCGGTACAACAAAGTCGGCCTTTGTTGAGCCAGGTTCATACAGATGCAGCAAAGGAGAATACATGCTACTGTGGAGCTGTAGCAAAGAGACAAGAAAAAAAGGGAATGGAAGCTATTCAGAGTCATGCCACTCCCGCTTTGCCTTTCAAAGAAACCCAGGAACTGTTACTCAGCCCTCTCCCCCAGGAGGGTCCTGGGTCAGTTGCTGTAGGAGAGAGTAGCAGTCTTTCTAATAGCATGTCGATCTCAGATTCATCCCAGAAAAAAGAAGAGCACAATTACTCCCTTTTTGTCTCTGACAACTTGGGTGAACAACCAACCAAAGGCAATCCTGAAGAAGATGAGGAAGATGAGGAGGATGTTGATGATGAGGACCATGATGAAGGCTTTGGCAGTGAGCATGAACTCTCTGAAAATGAGGAGGAAGAAGAAGAAGAGGAGGATTATGAAGATGACAAAGATGATGATATTAGTGACACATTTTCTGAACCAGGTATTACAATGCTTGGAAGCTTGCAAAACTGACCTATTGGCTGTTTTGAAATAGGAAGTTTTGTTTTGATGGTTGCTTTGTTTTAGGTGGGGGATTAAATGAATTAGTAGCTTGACTTGGACATTTAACTGCTTTTTTTCTATTCAAACAGCTCTAAAATGATCACTTTTGCTCATATAGTAGTCCACATGCTGGCTCCCTGAGAGCTTATTGTTACCTTACGTTAAGTGACCTGATTGGTCACTTTTGAGTGATTATGCAAAGGTGACATGACTGTTGCCTTAAAATATATTCCTGTTTATGCATGTACCTTTCTGTTTTGGTTGAGATAAATTAGGATTATCTAAGATGATGAACCAAGTGATTGTGGATCACATTATTCATGCCTAAAACAGAGCAAGCATTTTGTTTGTATGTGCGTTTTATTTCCACACTATTTCTTTATTTAAGAAAACACATGCTAGAATTTGATAAGCATGAGAGGGGTTCTGCTTTACTTATACTATATATTGTGTGCATAAAAGGGGAAGAGAAAATGAAACCATGTGAAACTGGTTCACTTCAACATTTACATGCTTGAGCCATTGCCATTAGTTGGCTGGTGCAGTTTGTTTATGAAAATGACATTGCCATGGCATGAATTTTAATTCACATAAAGAAATGAAGAACTTCAAATTTAAGCAAAAGTTTCTTGCTTAAATACTTGCAAAAAGTATTGATACTAATAATTCTGTGTCAAACTGGATTATTTTAAAATAAACTTTCATAAATTATCAAGCCAAACTCCCCCCTACTTCCTTTGTTGTATTGAGAATTTAATGCTGGGCTTTTCCATTGAATTATATCCCTATCCCCTTTTAAACTTTTTGACACAGGATCTTGTTGAGTTGCTTAGGCTGGGGTCAAACTTAGGCTCCTTCTCCCTCGGCCTCTTAAAGGGCTAGCATTACGGCTGTGTACCATTGCATTGGCTTCAAAGCGGGCCCTTTTGCCAGGCATGGTGGCATATGCCTGTATTCCTAGCTCTTGGGAGACTGAGGCAGGAGGATTGCTGTGAATTTGAGGCCAGCCTAAATTACAAAGTGAGACCTTGTCTCACAAACAGACAAACAACAACAACAAAAAGAGAACCATTTTGTTTTTTGATTGCTAGAATTTCAAGAGGTCTAATGCTGGTATTCAATTTTCTGGAAGATTTTTAAGGTATACTAATAATTGTAGCCAGTGGTTGCTTAAAAACTTTATGCTTTTGGTTAAATCTTCCTGTTACAAAAGTGCTTAGATACATGCAATCAATAGAAGTCAGTTCCATGATTTGGATGGAGTTTTAAGGAGGTAAAAGATACTTTGAAGTTTAATGTAAATATAAAAAGGAAATATGTCCTTTTAGGGGTTTACTTTAGAACTTTTATAGTTTAGATAAAGCAGTTATCTTCTCTACTTACAGGAAACTTTTTGTCTCGGCAAATTAATATAATCTGCATCGAGAGCTTGAAAGAAAACTTGTCTGGGTAACAAGGGGTAGTTTATTAGCTCCCTCCCCAAGGGAGTTCATAATGCTGTCTGTGTGTGGTCCTTAAAATCTGATAGATCAGTCCTCTTTGTTTGTTTTGCAGTGATGTCTATAGTGTGAGCTGGCCTTGAACTTGTAGGTTCAAATGATCCTCTTTGCTTCAGCCTCCAGAATAACTGGGACAGCAGATGCATGTTCCCATACACACCCATACCTGTTAATTTGTCTCCTATTTAAGATTAGGGTGGAAGGATAGAAGAGAAGCCATAGAAAGATAGGAAATATTTACAAGTGTGTGAAATGATAAGCAACATTTTCTTACCATTACCAAGGCAAGAACAGACAATGCTATTTATCCCACTTTAAAATTCTTGTCAGCTGGTTGTGGTGGCACAAACCTGTAATTTTAATGCTTAGGAGTCTGAGGCAGGATTGCCGTGAGTTTGAGCCCCACTTGCCCTACATAGTACACTTAAGACCAACTTCTGAAGTATGTGATGAGACCCTGTTTATGTTTAATGTATTAAAGATTCTTTGAGTTTCAAGGATTTTTATGCTTTTTCCAGTGATGATTTCTTTAAACGAGCTTTCTATCCCTTTGTTCTTTTTCAATTCTATCTGATATTTCTATAATGTTTCACTTGCTGGTATCCCTTAAGTTCTATAGCCTTTTCCCAATCTTTTTTATTTTCATTTTTTGTTCCTCTAATTGGGTAATTTCAAATAGCCTACGTTTGAGTTTGCTGATTTGTTTTCTGCTTGATCAAGTCTGTTGAAACTCTGTGTGTAATTGTTGTTTTAACTAACTGTTGTTCAGCTGCAAAACTTCTACTTGTTTCTTTTTTATGGTTTCTGTCTCTTTGTTGAATGTCTCACCTTGTTTCATGTGTTATTTCCCTGATTTGGTTTAGTTACCTGTGTTCTTTCAAAATTCACTAAATTTCCATAACAGTATTATTTGTATTTTTTAAATTAAAAATTTTTTTTGTCTTTTTGAGACAGGGTCTTACTATGCAGTTCAGGCTGGCCTTGAGCTCACTTTGTAGCCCAGGCTGGTCTTAAACTTGCAGCAATCCTCCTGCCTCAGCCTCCTGAGTGCTGGGATTACAGGTGTGTGCCACCATACCCAGCTAACAGTATTATTTTTAATATCATTTCAAGCATTTCTTAGATTTCCCTTTATTTTGGGTCAGTTACTGACGCTTTATTTTTGCTTCTTAAAAACCTGCACACCTCATCTAGTCTTTACAGACTGACTTTTGTCATGGAAAGCACTTCATTTAGTCTATCCAGAGATTTACGGCAAGCTAGTTGGCAGGCTTGCTGCTGTAGGCTTGAAGTGCTCTGGTCTTTTGCCTGAGTCATTGGGCAGTTGAGTTATATGCTTAGGACCATAGGGGCTGTCCTAGTACCCGAGTTCATAGGACCTGACCTGACATAGAGCTGGGCATGGTCCTGGATCTATACAGGCATTACTGGGACTTAGAGCCTGGTGCTTTGGCACTGCCTCCTGGATCCCCAGAAAGTGTCTTGGAGCTTGGGGCTGATCCTTTTTTGACTTTACTTTGTTTTTTTCTAGGGTCTTTCTGTAAAGTCCTGCCTATCCTTTAACATGTTCCTGCCGACTTAGTTCAGCATATGCATCACTGTCCCTCAGGCAGCTTGTACCACTGGTGGTACAAATGGATCTAATCACTTTTATCAATATTTTTACTGATAAAATTAATAAATGGAGCAGTCATGCATGAACCATGAGTTGGTTCAACCTACCTAGAAATAACACATCTGAATTACAGCTCTGATGTGAATAGTGAACTCTTACTATGTACTCCAGGATAGCCTTGAGTTTGCTGTTTCCCTGCCTTAACCTCCTAAGTACAGCAGCTACAAGCATGCACCAGTATACCTGGCTCTTTCTTTGAATTTTAACTCTACTTAAAATTCATCCTTGATGTTTTCAGTTGAAAACAATCTAGATAAATATATTGAGCAATGAGGAGGTTCATGAAGAGTAATCACAAATTGACCCCTATTTCCATGTTTTTTACCTCAGCCTTTTGACTCAACTAGGGAAGGGGAATAAATTTCTTAGTTGGCATTGTCCCATCAGGCCACATCCTCCTCTCACATTCCTCATAGAATAACCCTTGTTCTTTAGCAACCAACCAGTGGCTTTAACATTAGCTGGCTGGCACTTAGCAGGATCAGATTCTCTTCTTGGACCATTTAATAATGTTAACGGTTTGGATGGCGTTTAAATTCATTCACTTCGTAATGACTCAAAGTAAAACCCTTTTGGTATTACTTGAACACTACACAGATGTTAATGTTAATACTTTAACCATAAAATTAACATAGCCTTATAGTATTACTTGGGCTTTGTTCAAATTTGCTAATGAAAATTTCTTAAAATGAAGAGCTAAACAAATTTCAAGGATGCAAAAGTGAATTATCGGTCAGAAATAGTGAAAAAATCTTTGAATCAAAAAAGTAAGGATACTTAAGAGTGCTAGTTTTAGGGTAGGTGATTGGTTTAATTTGTAGCTGGTGGTTTACAAGGGCTCTTTTATGATGACTAGCTCCCTTGATGCTGTTTCTTGGCAGATGGCTACGAGAGTTCATGAGTCTACAGAGTTCCAGGAAAGGTGCAAAATAGAGTTTCAGTCTCTATTCTGGAGTCACTGCCAAATTTTAATAGAGTCTATTCTGTGGACAAGCTACAACTGTTTGGGGTTATGAGATTATGTGGTTCTTAAACTAAGAATTGGCCCCCTAAAATGAGTTTATTTGTAATCCCCATTAAGCCTTTTCACATTTGACTTTACCAGTTTAATAGCAGTAGTCTGCAGTAAACAGTGATGGGAATTTTAGGCAGTAAATGACCTTTTTGGCCTCCTTTTGGTGCTTGTATCAGAAAGGAATGAATTCAATCATTACAGCAATATGTAAAAAAAAAAAAGAATAGAATCCATGGAAAATATTGTGTTAATTTACATTTACAAAAAATGAAAATGCAGCTTGCTTCCGGCATTCTTCTAATCAAGAATAATTATATTTTGTAAATGGAAATACCACCCTACAATGAGAATGATACACAAGTAAAATGTTCTTTTGTTTCAGATGACTATTGATATACCAGGGCAATGTGAAATAATAATAAAAGCAAGATATTCCATGGCAAAGTTTGGGAGTAAGGTTAAGACTGTGGCTCACGCCTGTAATCCCAGCACTTGGGAGGCTGAGGTAGGAGGATCATTGCGAGTTCAAGACCAGCCTGGGCTTCAAAGTGAGCTCAAAGCTAGCCTGAACTGCATAGTGCGACCCTGTCTCAAAAAGACTGTAAGCCAGGAGTTACCTTGGGGTAAGTGCTGCAGCCACAAGTGCTGCTGGCAGGTATTCTGAGGCAAACAAGAAATGGCTTAAACAAAATCATTTATTAAAAAGTTTTTAAGTGTCTACTTTTGAGTCAGGTCCTTTTGGGTATTAACTATATAGGTTTATTGATAGTGATAATTTCTTAGTACTTCTCTTTCCTGCACCCCACCACAGGAGTTAAATCCCAGGCCTCATCTAAGCAAGTACTCTATCACTGAGCTACACACCCACCCATTTCACTCCTTTATGCTTATGTGTACTGAAATTTGTCAAGTATATGCAGGACCAGAGTCAATCATCTGTCTGTCTTTCTCTCTGAGATAGGGTTTTGCTGTGCAGCTCAGGCTGACCTTGAACTCCTTTGATACCCAAACTCACAGTGATTCTCCTGCCTCAGCCTCCAGAGTTCTGGGATTACAGGAGTGCATCATCATCCTAGCCAGATCAGAGTTTTTTAAAGTTATTTGACCACAGAATTCACTTGGTTGTGAAATTTTATCTTATGATGATAGTGTTCCTTAGAACATAACTTTGGAAAATATTTACTGCCCCAAAGTACTATGAGACAAGTACTTTTTCTGCATTCTACTTAATCACTATAGTCTCTATATTGAATAATGACTTTAGTCTCTGTGTGTTTTGTGTGTGTGTGTGTCACAGAGAAAGAAAGGAAACAGGGAAAAATCTTGAATTTATGGTAGATGCACCAGCTCTACTAGATAGATCATGTCAGTCCATAATAAGAATGCTCATTTGATCAAATGAAGTTAATAACTTCTTCCAGGTTCCTAGAAGTCAAATGATATATGCAGTATATGAGTACGTTAAGGTAAGGTAAAGTATTTTGTTTGAGGAGAGGCAAAGACACATGCTAGTAGCTAAGGGAACATACAAAATATCCAGGGCCTGAGCACACCATATGAAAAGTTTCCTTGTGCTTTGGGCTAGACTAGAACTGCAAAACACCAGTTGTGGACATTGGTAGGAAGGTAGTACTGTTTTGGTTGTGCATCAATCTGTGTTGAGGTGTGCCTGGTTCAAACTAGAGAAATCTGTGAGCTGGTAAGTTTTGCTTAGATTAGTGTGGAACCACAGGCTCTTTAAAAAGATCATGTCTGGTGACAAAGTGTGTCTCCTACACCTTTTCCCCAATGCTGGGTTGATACCTGGAATAAGAGGAAATCCTTTGAGATGAAACATAAGCACAGTAGGTCAAAAGCTGTTGCTTTATTGCATGACTATAATCCCAGTACTCGAGAGGCTGAGGCAGGAGGATTGTCATAAGTTCAAGTCCAGCCTGGGCTATGTAGTGAGACACTGTCTCAAAAACAAACAAAGCTATTGCGTTATGTATTTGACATGGTTTAAAACATTAGACTTTTAAAAGTGATATCACTTGTACATTACTAATCTAGAACCTAAGGTTCATGTCATAATGCTTGCCTTATTCCTTTAAAGTACCATATATACACTAAGACAATTGTGTTCTACACACAACATCCCACTTAATGATGACCCATATATAGAATAAATGACAATGTGCATATCAGCCAAGGTTTGTGTAAGTAAATTCTGTGATGTCCAAACAGCAATGAAGTCTCAGAATAACACATTTGTCAGATATTTCTCCACAGTGTTAAGCAACACACGACTACACTGTAAATACCAGCAGTGCTACAAAAAGCTTGTTTTGACTATTGGGTAGAAATCATTCTGCTCTACAAGTTTATTCTCTCATTTTTTAGGCATATGCTGCCACTATTCCCAGTTTACCCATTTTTAAATTTTTTTACATATTTTTTTTGGTACCAGGGAATTTAAGACTTTGGTGCTTGCCAGGCAGGGGTTTGTGACACTGTGCTAAATCTCCAGCCCCCTTATCCATTTTTTAAAAAATTATGCTTATTGTGGTACAATTTTCACATAGTGTACCCTTATATGAGTTATTGTTCTGTGGTGCTGAGGTAGAAGTTTGACCAGTGTATGTCATCATATAACCACTTCCATAATCAAGATACAGAATAGTTTAACCCCCAGAATTCCCTCATATTTCTTTATTCCTTTCCTTTACTCCCAACCCAACAACTACTCCCTATGGTTTTGCCTATTCCAGGATGACGTATAAATGGATAGTTAGCACTAACTCTTGATTGGTTCTTACTCCAAACAAAACTTGATACAATTCTAAAATACAGAATTTTTTCAAAAGTAACAGAGTTCTTCACTTTATTAATGGTGATCTGAAAGGAGTCATGTCTTTTGGAAGAGAAAATGACCATTTTTCTTGGCCAGTACTTCCCAGTTTTTCCTGGCTCTTTTTAAGTTTTGGTTTGTGTACATCCTATGCACTCTCTACTTCCCATGTACTTAGTAGTATTGCTGTACAGTTCACCTTAGATAGTCATTCTCCGAAGATATTTTAGATTTATAGGTTGTCTTGTGTTGGATGTGTTCAACAATTCAAGCAGGTCAGAATTAAGTATTTTTTAGAATTTCTCATTAGAAGGAAAATATCTTCTTAATAGTAAAATAGTAAGCCCAGCTTTGGTAACCCAGTGAGACACTGTCTCAGAGTAAAAAATTTAAAAAGGGTTAAGGCTATAGCTTAGTGCAAAAGTCCTTATTTCAGTCCCCAGTACCACCTAAATAAATAAATACAAATTGCTTCTAATAAAACATTAGCCAGAATAGACATACAAGTTTTTATTTGATATCTGGGTCAGAACTATCTTTTGTACTTTTCCAAAAGGGTAGTATGGGAAATAGGAAGAAAACCACTGCTCCCTCGCAAAACGAGGGTGCCATTGTAGAGGAGTGGAAATGTACACAGCTTTCTCTAAGATGTTTCATATGTACAAATACTAAAAGGACATTTTAATATCATAGTACAGTATCTAAGTACCATTATCTAATGGTACTTTTTCATTCCTGGAAATGTATTTATTCTCTCAATCCCATGTGAAGAAAACAAAAGAAAGTACTATATACTAACTTATAGAAACCAAAGAGAAACCCAAGGAAAATAAGTCTTAAGAATTCAAGATAGATTGATCTCTATTTTGTGAGAGAGAGATATGTTGATTAACTTTAGTCCTGATTTATTATTTTTGACAGCTAGTGATATTTTCAGATGAAAGAAAATATCTCAAGTTAAAAATAGAAGAATCCTTTTGTTTGTTTTGATTGGTTTTTTTGAATTTTATGGGGTTTAACAATTTGAGGAACCTTTTTTAAGGTTATGAAAATGATTCTGTAGAAGACTTGAAGGAGATGACTTCAGTATCTTCTCGGAAAAGAGGTAAAAGAAGGTACTTCTGGGAGTATAGTGAACAACTTATGCCATCACAGCAAGAGAGGATTCTGAGGCCATCAGAATGGAACCGAGATACCTTGCCAAGCAATATGTATCAAAAAAATGGGTTACATCATGGTAAGAGAAAGTTGCTATTGATTATTTAGTGTCATTTAATTTAAATAATTTATTTTTGTCTTTTTGAGACAAGGTCTTGCTTTGCAATTCAGGCCAGCCTTGAGCTCACTTTTTAGCACAGGCTGGTCTTGTACTTGCAACAGTCTCCTGCCTCAGCCTCCCAAATGCTGGGATTACATGCACTATCATAACTGGCGTTTTTATTTTCATTATTTGTCTTTTGGAGACAGGGTTTTGCTATGCAATTCAGGCTGGGCTTTACCTCACTTTGTAGCCCAGATTGGCTTTCTCAAAATTTATAGTGATCCTCCTGGCTCAGCCTCCTGAGTGCTGGAATTAAAGGTGTGTGGCACCATGCCCAGTCTTAGTGCCATAATAGAGACTGATCCATAATTCTTACTCAGTGTACTTGAGTTTTCAGTCCTTTGTAGCCAGCTGGAAGGTGGAATAGTAGAGGTGATATATGTGCCATGACTGCCATTTGCTCACAGATAGGTTTTACCAGTGTTAAGAGCCACCACCTAAGCAGCAGAAAAGACAGTATAAACACTATTTCATGCCTAGTCCCTTCTTATCTACTCAATACTCAGGAAATGGCTAGAAAGCTGATGGCTTGTCATGGTTGCTGTAGATTGAGAAGAAACAAAATGGACTTCAGCATCCCTGTTATTCTCCTCCATTCCTCAAAGCAAAATGTCAGTGAGGATATCGGAATATAGAAAAAACAAAGGGGAAAGAAAAGAAAGCACAGTTGTAGAAAAATGAGTGATGAAGCTGAACACAGTGGCACATGCCTGTAATCTCAGTATTCTGGGAGACTGAAGCAGGAAGGTTGCGAGTTCAAGCCCAGCTTGTTTAATTTAGTAATAACCTCCCTGTCTCAGAATTAAAAAAAACTTGGAATGTAGCTCAGTGTGAAGGCCCAGTGGTACTGGATGGAGGAGGGAAGAGAGGAGTTAAATAGTAGGAATCATGAAACATAATCTTTAGGAGGTTAAAATTGTGATTTGCTGATCCAGAAAACTGTGATTGAGAAGAATTTTTTTTCTGTACAAAAACTATTTTTATATTAATCCAAAGTCTTTACCAAAAAGGGCAGAGGGAAAGTATTAAGTTTTGTGCTCAATAAGTAGTTTAGTATTCACTTGCACTACAGATTGAATTTGCTAAGCATGTTTGAAGTCAGGAATTATACCTAAGTATGTTTGTGCTTCTGTTTTACTGTTCATCTGTAATCACATCCATATGTATTACCTGCCAGTGATTATTTAATTTTTACATTCAATTCAGTTTTGTACTGAAAGTGGAAAGGTAAACCTAGTAAATAACTTTAGGTAGCTTGTGATGAGTTCTAGGAAAAGACAATAATGGGGAACCCTTTAAGACTTTGGAGATTACAGACAGCTCTCTGCAGCATGCATGCCGTTGGTTTTCCTCTATTGCTAGAGGAGTTCAGAGGACAGAGCCATCCGCTTGCCCTGGAGTGACAGGGCAAGACCACTTGAGTGTTCTGTAATGTTACTTACCAAAGCATCTGAAGAAGAATGTTTAAACAAGATGATCCTTACTCATTGGATTTTTGATCCAACAAATGTATGTATGTGACAAATTTTTAGTTGCAGCATTGAAATATCTTTAGGTAAAATGTCCAAACTGTCTTCTGGACCACATATTATACCCCAGCCCTGATTTTTGTATATACTTGTACTCCAGTCCTGAGATTTGAGATGTTTAATATTTCTATGAAAGGAATTAAGAATCTGTTATTCTAGCGTTAGAAAGTTAGGAGTAGAGAAGAATTTAGAAAAGTTTATAACAAGGAAATATCATCCTTCCTTTCTGTTTTTTTTTTTTTGTTTGTTTGTTTATGGTGCTAGAGATGGAATCCTTAAATGTGCTAGGCAAGTGCTCCAATACTGACATACATCTGTGGCCCACCCCCATTTCTTGCATTCACACATAGAAAGGCTAGACCTTCTGCGTTGTGTTGTCAAATATGTCAAGACTTTTTTTTTTCTTTTTTGAAACAGAGTCTCAAAAAGCCTGCAGTTCAGGCTTGCCTTAAACTCACTATGTAGTCAGGCTGGTATTGAACTCACAGCAATCCTCCTACCTCAGCCTTGCAAGTGCTAGGATTATAGGCTTGTGCCACTATGCCTGACAAGACTTTCTAAAAGACCATAGTGGTGACTGTGGAAAATGTATCTATTGTTCAAATAAATAATCTAACTTCTTTTAAACTATCTAAAGGAAAATACGCAGTAAAGAAGTCACGGAGAACTGATGTAGAAGACTTGACTCCAAATCCTAAAAAGCTACTCCAAATAGGCAATGAGCTACGGAAGCTGAATAAAGTGATAAGTGACCTGACTCCAGTCAGTGAGCTGCCTTTAACAGCTCGGCCAAGGTCAAGGAAGGAAAAAAATAAGCTGGCTTCCAGGTAAATGCTAATAATATGTACTCATGTAAATAGTACAGGAGGTGAGATTAGCTTCTGAGTTTTAATAGACGTGACCTTCAACCATTATTCAAAAATAAAAGTTTTTTATATAATTATTACAATAATGAGAGTTACACTTTTTCCTTTGAAGGTAAAATATGTTATTTATGCTTCCTGGAAAAATTTTTTGAAGAGAGAACTGAAGGGAATATAGCGCAGAATACTGTAACAGTGCAGTATAGTACAATAGTGAGAATTTATGCAACTTTATTTTTTTGTTTAAAGTCAGCTTTATTGAGGTGTCATTTACTTACAGTAAAATTTACTCTTTCTAATGTACACTACTATGAATTTTTACAAACATGGCCAGTCATGTTATAAAAGCAAACCTCTTTCCCCTTAGCCTTTCACAACTACTAATCTCCTTTCTGTCATAGTTTTGCCTTTTCTGGACTGCCATTATAGAACACTGTAGGTGTCCTTAGAATTGAGCTTCTTCACTTAACATGATGCACTTGAGATCCATTCATGTCCTTGTGTGGAGTAATAGCTTGTTCCTTTTATTGCTGAGAACTATATACCTTTATAGGCAAGTGTAAAACCACCATCAACATTTCTGTTGGATAAATGCCCAAATGTGAATGTTCAACTTTATACTGCAAACTGTTTTCCAGAGTAGTTGTGTATACTATTTTACCTTCTCACCTGAACAAGCAAGAGTTCTACAGTACTTATTTTACATTCTCTATAATACTTTGTATTGTCAATTTTTGCTTGTTTTTTTTTTGTTACACTAATAGTTATGTACGATCATAACTTTATTTTTGAATTTGTGCTAAATATTTAAAATGGATTTAGATAAATTATTTTAACATTTTATAACTCAGATCCTTAACAACATCAGTGTGCAATGGTTTTTGGTTGCTATTAGAAAATGTGTAACAGGAGCAAAAAGAAGTATATTCTGAATATTTTAAAAAGAAAAATGAACTAATAGCTCCTTCTTTTTACAGAGCTTGTCGGTTAAAGAAAAAAGCCCAGTATGAAGCTAATAAAGTGAAATTATGGGGCCTCAATACTGAATATGGTAAACCTAAACACTGAAGAATTTGTTTAACTTCCTGTGAAGTTTGCTGACCTCTTGTTACTCGGTTTTATTATTTGCTTGCCCTGTATTTTTTCTAGCCTCCTCATTATTAATCCATTCAGAAAACCACATGCCTGCTTTCATTCATTCTTGTCTTCCCTTTTAGTGTGTGAGTGTCTATCTCTGAGGCTCTTCAAGCCAGTCTCATCACTACAGTAATGAAGTAGTCTGCTTGTAACCACAGTCATTCTTGTTTTATAATTGTATTAATTACTCAGTTTTGTTGTCTTATTTTAATATTGTCCTTGGTTTGAATATTTGTGTGGCTAGTTTTGAGCTATGTTTTTCAAATTTGACTGCTCATTGGAATGCCTGTATACTTGTTAAAGTACAGATCCCTAGACTACTGCATCTTTTGAATTGGCTTCCATATTTTTGACATATCCTAGATTACTTTTTTTTTCTTGTGATAGTCAGGATTGAACCTAGGGCTTTGTGCATGCTAGGCAAGTGCTTTACCACTAGGCAAGTGCTACATCACCAGCTATTTCATTTTTAAATTGAATATCTATACTATTACATCACTAAAGGCAAATTCTTCCATGTTGGTGATATGTTCCAAGTGTTTTGTTTTGTCTTACAGATAATTTATTATTTGTAATCAACTCCATCAAGCAAGAGATTGTAAACCGGGTACAGAATCCAAGAGAGGAAAGGGGACCTAATATGGGGCAGAAGCTTGAAATCCTCATTAAAGATACTCTTGGTAAGAATTTTGGATAAATTCATAAAAAATAGTAACATGTATTCTAAGATACATGTTTCAAGGAGATAGTAAAAGTTCTTTTAGTTTAAGGAAATACTCAAGTGCTCTCATCATATTTATTCTTTCTCTTTTTTGTCATACTGGAGATTGAATTGAGGCCTCACACATGCTAGGCAAATGCTCTACACTGTGTTACATCCTCAACTCACATTTACCCTCTTTCATGAGTAATTCTTTTTTGGTTATTTTTGCCTTGTTTTGTTTTGGTTTTGATTTTTGAGACAGGGTCTCTATGTAGCTCAGGGTGGCCTTGAACTCACTGTGTAGTCTAGGCTAGTCTTGAACTTGTGGCAGTTCTCCTGCCTCAACCTTTTGAGTGCTGGGTTTTATGAGTAGTTCTGTCTTTTGAGATTTAATGTTTCTAAGTGTATACTGCTGATCACTACAATTTGTAATTTAGGTTTAATCATTGTACACTTCAGTGCTTAAGAAAGACAAGTGTTCAGCAGCTTTAACCTTAAATAGGATCAAAAGCAGGCTCTGGGCTGCAAGCCTAATTTGCACCTTTCTTGACAGTCTCACTTGTTTTGCTTACTAATACGTTTCACGTGATTCTAATAAATGTGGTCATCTCATTTCCCATTCCTAAACTGTGCACAGTATGGTGAAGATCAGAGTGACAGACATTCTGAAGCCAGGCCAACCAGTAGTGGATGGAGAAGAGATAGCTAGTGTAGACAAAGACGTGAAAACACTAAAGACCTAGGAGTTTAGCTGCTTAAGGAACAAATCATCTTACAGATAAGTAGCATTCCAAAAGTTTTACAATCCATAAAAATCCAAACAATTGAATTCACAAAATTAAAGGCTATGCTTGTCTTGAACAAAATTATACTGACACTGAAAACGTTTTCACATGAAAAGTGTATGCTAAATATCAATCTTTTCCTAAATAATTACTTCCTATTTCATGTAGATTAATTAATTAGTTGAGCAAAACAAGAAGCTGTAATGAGTTTCCTTGACTTTTTACAGATGCACTGATGGCTGTTTTTAATATTTTGGGTTATTCTTTCAAAGTATATCTGTTGTTTCTTTTTCTTTAAAAGGATTTCAGTATTTCTTTGTTAGGTAGAAGGAAGAATTTAATGTAAGAAAGTATTTTTACCTTTTCATTTTTAACTTAAAAGTCTTGTAGGTTGATAAGCTTGTGTATTCTCTATATACTTGAAAGTCAGTTTTCTTTGCCTCATACAAAATCCTTATTTTATATATTTTTTATATTTTATATAAAAACCCCATATTTTCATTCCTTGAATGTTTTTCCAGTTTCTTCTGGCATAAAATTGCAAAACTAATAATTGTACAGTTTTCATGTCACTTGTTTGCTGGTTTTGCCCATATGCCATGATTTTTACTTTTTGTTTAAATCCTTGTTATTTTACTAAACTATGTTTAAAGTTAGTCATTTGAATCTGATATTCTCACATATGCACTATATTCTTTCAATATATAGTTTTGGATTTTTTTTACTCTTAGAACTCATTTGAAGGTTGGATCTTCTTTGTCTCCAGTGTTTGTAATTTGTTGTTTTTATCTCTTTAATTTCATTTCTTATATACCCCCAGGGATTGATTCCAGGGCTTTTCTTACTGAAAGAGCCACATTTCTGACTCTTATTTTGAGATAGGGTCTCACTGAATTGATAAGTTTTCCCAGACTGGGCTTGAACTTGCATTTTCCTTCCTTAGCCTCCCAGAATGCTAGAATCAGATATGTGCAACCATGCCTGGCTTAGAGTAATTTTTTATGGAATTTTCACCTGGATACTTTGGTTTTTCATTTATGAGTTACGTTATTTTTTCAAAACTTTGGAAAGATTTGTTCACAATACCTTTTTCTAGGTGTGTGTGGTGGCGCATGCCTGTTATCCAAGCACTCAAGGCAGGATAGTTGTGAATTCAAGGTCAGCCTGAACTACATAGCAAGACCCTGTCTCAAAACAAATAAAACCCCCAGAAAACAGTAGCTTTTTCTAACCTCACAGTCTTCCCTTTTAATGTTAAACATGATAGTTTGCCTTCTGAAATTTGTTCTTCTACTCCCTACCCCCATTTTATGTGGACCATATCTGTCTCTTACATATTTTCTTCTGTAGTACTTGGTTTTAATGCCAACCCCACAAGTATCTTATCAGTGCTTGCTCTTCTGCAAGAGTCTGGCCAGTTTTCTGAATTCCCCAATGCTTGACTGTGGGCCCCTTCACATCTTATTGTGGGCCCCTTGGGGTCATCTTGTACTCACTCTTGGGTTGGACAAAATCTTTCACAGCTTCAGCTACAGTTCTCAAGTTGCCTTCTTGTGCTTCCCAGTGAATAACAACCTGTTGGCCATTTTAGACTTCTTTTGTTTTCAGGTCCATTACTTCCTTTTCATTTATCTCACAGAAATACTGATATAAATAAATACTGATATTATTTGTCTCAGTGGCCTTTGTTAGTTTGTTCCCACCCTTTGAATGTTGGGGTTCATAAAGATAGCTTGTCACTTATTGGTGTTTTCAGGGGTTTATTGGATTTGGGTTTCTGTTTTGTGATGGCATTGGAGATTGAACCCAGAGCCTTTGCACTTGCTAAGTTGCTACATTGCCCAATTTGGATCCAAAGTTGGAATCCTCCTGCCCCAGCCTTCCAGAGTGCCAGAATTTTAGGCATGCAGTGCCGTGATTAGCTTGCTTGTTTATTTTTAAGAGACAGAGTCTTACTTTGTTATCTAAGCAGACCTCTTAACTTCTGGGTTCAAGTAACTCTCCTGTCTGTCTCCTAACTAGTTGAAATTACAGGTGTATGCTACCTGGGCCAGTTTCTGTGGATTCAGTTGCACTATTTGTTTTAGTGTTGCTTGGAGATTGAACACCAGGCCTTGAGCATGCTAGGCAAGTACTTGTACTACTGAGCTACATCCCCCTCCCTCCTCATTTGCTTGTTTTTGTATGGGGAGAAAAAGTAGATTTAAAAATCTGTGCTGTAGGCTGGGGGTTTAGGTCAGTGGCATAAGCACCTGCCTTGTGAGCGCGCAGTTTGTGAGTTCGATCCCTGGTACCAACAAATAAAAAATTAAAAAAATTTTTAAAATCTCTGCTGTATATATCTATCTTCCCACAAATTCTCTGAGAAACTCAAAGGTTTGGTAGAATAGTCTTTAAACTGTTTATCCTAATTTTTTTGTGTGTGATTAACGCTTTTAAAACTTTTGTTTTTTCTAACAATGGTTTGTCAAATTACAGCTTCTCTAGGGTCAGTTTGGTTACGTACTTATTCCTAGAAAATTGTCCTTCTCTTCCAGACTTTTAATTAACTGGTCCTGTCTTTATTTTTTGATTTCCCTGTATCCATGAGTAGTGCTCCATTTTCATTCCTTATTTGTATCATGTTCTTTCTTTTTTCTTTTCCTCTCCCTCCCTTTCTCCCTTCTCGCTTCTCTCTCTCTCTCTCTCTTTCTCTCTCTCTCTCTCTCTCTCTCTCTCTCTCTCTCTCTCTCGGTCTCTCTCTCTCTCTCTCTCTCTCTCTCTCTCGGTCTCTCTCTCTCTCTCATTTTTTTCTTTTTTCTCCCTTCATCCCTCCCTACTTGCCTTTCTCCCTCCCTCCCTTCTTTCCTTCATACTAGGGGCTAAACCCGTGCTAAGCAAGTTCTCCATACTGAGTTACTTAACAAGTTATTTACATGGTCCTTTTTTTTTAAACCCCCCTCCCCCCCCATGTAGTGCAGGCTGTTATTGAATCGACTAGGTAGCCCAGGCTGGCCTTGAACTCATTCTGATCCTCTGTGTCATCCTCCTGAGTGTCAAGATTACAGTCTTACACCACTACATCTGGCCTTAAACTTACAATCTTTGTTATTTGATGTATTGATTACTTTTGGCCTTTTTATAGAAAATGAGGATAAGCAAATCACCATATTTTTTTACAAATATATATACTTAATACTTCTCACCTGTTTTCCCTCTTCTACCTTTTCTTACTCATTTTCCTTCAAAATGAAAAAAAAGGAACATAAATTGTATGCAATAATGTAACAAGTTGAGAATAAACGTACTCTCCAAATAATGTAGTTTCGGTTGAGTGGATGAACCTTGCCCCCTATTTCCCCATTGAACGTGAGACATGGAAGCATTTGGAGGAGACTGTCTGAGAGAACAAGGAAAGACAGTTCATAGGTTTAGAAAGTGATACCTTTGGATCTGGGTTTGTTATTACTCATCATCTATCCCACTTTAAATATTTATTAACAATATGTATGTTGGTTTGATTTGACTTCTCTATTTTTAAAATTGTAGCCATGAATCTGATGGGGCAGAATGACTTTGGGGCTGCAGTAACAAGCAATGCAGCAGTCATTTGGACCAATATCAAGCTGAGGGCCACACTTGAGATCCTCAAATATTTTGTATTTCTTTCTTTCCTCCAAATACTCTCTGTTTCTATGTCATAAGTGTTCCTTTTATTCCCTTCAGGTCTCCCAGTTGCTGGGCAAACTTCAGAATTTGTTAACCAAGTGTTAGAGAAGACTGCAGAAGGCAATCCCACTGGAGGCCTTGTAGGACTAAGGATACCAACATCGAAAGTGTAATGTGTAATCAGCCTCATTGGTCCAATGGTCAGAAATGTCTGTTTTTGTCACGTTCCCCATTGTAAATTTTCATTCTGTTTTTGCATGTCAGTTAGCATTATGTAAACATTTACAATTAGGTTACATTCTTTTAAGAACTTGTAGCATAAGTGAAGCATGATCCAAAATACTTGATTACTGCATTTTCAGAGCATAAACCATGGTTAAACCTGCTACTGGCATTAGAATTAAAACTCATACATTAAATAAATGTTTAGGTACAGATTGCACAAATCTGTTATTGCAGACATTTTGAAGGAGTGAATAGACTAGTGTAATGCCAGGTATTATGGCAGGTTTATGCTCTGAACCACACAAAAATATTGAGGAAGCATTCTTTTTAAAAACAATTTAGATTGTTTTTAGAATTACTGCTTTTTGTTCTAATTTTCCACAACCATTAATTTCACTTGTACATGACATATTCAACAGGCCTGTGTGCCATGTTAGATGTTAATTTTCAGAGCTCAATATAAATGTATATTATATATATAAATGTCTGTGCAAGTAAGAAAAAAAAAGCATATTCTTTGTGCCTTGTATTTTGGGGAATCTATAAAACTGGTAATATTTTGTATGATGAAAACCCTAATAAGGAAAAACAAGATATATAGATGGAAAATTATGGGGTTTAAATGGTTTTTTGTTCCAACTCTTTTTCAAATTTTTGAATGTATATAGGACTATGTTGAAATGTAGATATATGCCACAGAGTCTGTGTATTGTATAAAAAACAAAACAAAAAACAAACAAAAAAAGATGGCTCTAGAAAACTTACATTTCGGTACTTGACCGGAAGAAGACAAATACTTGCACATTATTGTGATTGTTTTATTTTTTGTACCAAAGACAAATGCAACTGATATGGCAAACTGCCAGTCTAAGTAAAGTTTTGCACAGCTTACGATACTGTATGAATGTATGAAAAAAAAGAAAAAATTAAAAGGTCAGGGTTAGGGATCTTACTGAACTGTGAATTTTATTTCTGTTTGGGTCCAATTATCTACAGAAGGAGCATCCATACATACAAATATTTTGCTGTTCCTCTAGTTCACTTCCATAGTAGATAAGCTGATGGCCATTTAGATGTCTGTAAGTCTTTTATTTCTGCACTTACTGTAGGAAATTTTAATATATTTCATTTTAGTAAGCTATTGATAAAATAATTTTTGACTTTGAAAATTAAAAGTTTATTTAGCTTATTGTAGTATACTTCCACCAAACAACCAAAATACAGATTATTTTTATTGTATTATGTATATATATTGTAAAGAAAGAAAAAAGCTAAAATATCTAATTCTTTAATTGCCACTTTTCCAATTGATGTATTATTGTGCATGTAATATTTTCGAAGATCAACACAGCTGAAAACAACAAAAAAATTTATAGATTTTTATATTTTTGTACAGGTATTTTCAAACTAGCTTCTTCAGACTTTCATGTGACTTTATTCTTCTATAGTTTCTAGAACTGAAAAACATTAACACATTTAGTTTTTAGGTGCTCTTTTTTGCTTACATAAAACAGCTTCATTAGTCAGTGTTTAAACTGTTCAAGCTTTACTTCTTGATAAGAAATTTGTTATGTCAAGGCAGCATTATAAACTTTCCCCACAGATCTTCCCACTCTCTCTGTTTTATTCTCCAATCTTATGTTTTAAATTCTTAAAAAAAAACAAATGTATCTAGCAAAAAACAAAACCCAAAAATACTAGATATAGCTGCTGGGAAAATATCACATTTCCCACTATAAAAATTGATTATTTATACTTTTGTCTATATTTTCTTTTACTTTCTTCCTCTTTCCCTTAAGCTATAGCATATGAAGCTGTAGCACTTGAAGGATTGATTCCAGAACACACCGTAACAACCCAGCATCGTTGCTTATTTGCTTCTTTGACATCATGAAACATAAGAAACTTAAAGGACTATCTTTGACACCTTCACTGATGCACAAGATTTTCCTGTGTGTTTGGTGGAAATGTACCTGGTTAGTGCATTCATGCTAGCAGATAAGCTCATATCTAATGTTAATAGAATACAGGTTCATTGTTTTCAAGTTTTTCTTTTTTAGATGGGAAAAGGCAAAGCACAGGTTTGCAACTTGGATGTATATGAAGCCTTAGCAGTATATGATAAATTGAAGGGTTCTGAAATACAGCAGTTTTGCAGTCAGGTGAAAATTGCTTTGTGATAGAGATACAGCCGATAAGATTTATAAAATTGCCCCTTTCTAGCTGTTCTGTTAGGAATTTCTGGGTTTTGATACTTTTTTCCTGTCTGCAAACCAGAATTTGATTTTTTGGTCTTGCATTTCAAAAAAAGACTTTGAATCTGTTTAGTAGATTCCATATCCTTGCATTTCAGTGTTTTATATGTACTACTTAAGTTAAATAGTTAAAAGCTTTTAAATAGTAGAGCTTTTTAATGTTGACACTTTATTTTGTACCTATTTATATATGTATGTATATCTTAGAAAAGCACTTTGTTAAAAAAATGCATTTTATATGATTCCTGCCATTTGCTGCTAAATCTGGGCTGGTCAGAATGCTGCAGCGATACTTGATCTAAATAAAAACCTGGCAGTAAAATGTAGAGTGAAAGTTAAATCCTCTTGCTGTTTTAACTTTATCACAAAGATGACATAGGCAAGCTGTGCAGCTTTACATTTTAACCAGGGGACTCTGTGGCATTTAAAACCGTCTAGAAATGGTTGTACTTTAATGCCAGTAATAATCTGCTTCCTCTATTGTCATTAAAATATATACGTTTAGTGTATCACAAAAACAATCTTATAACATAATATACAAACCCCAACAGTTGTACATGTTTTGTTTTTTAAAATTGTGGCATGTATTTTTGGGTGAAGAGCAATAGATAAGAGCTCTCTCAAGGGTTTCTGTGTTCATACATGGTATACAGATAGCTCATAATGAAGTCAAGAATCTTAAGTGAAGGCATTGTGAATTCACCTCAAATAAACCCATTGTTCCAAAAACAATGACAAACTTTGACTCTAGTACAACTACGGTTTTAAGGGAAAAAAAAAAAAAGACTTTCTTCCTAGTTCGAGATACACTGGATTCTTTATAGAATTTGTCTCCCTATGAAAGCATGCTGTCCAATTGCTCTTGTTAAGATCTTGTCTGAGTTTTGAATTGGGTGCCACACTTTTTCAGTCGATATGGTTGCTTGTTCTACTGTACCATGTATGATTCTTGTCCTTTCCTATGTCCTTCATGACAGATTATGATGTGGCTTTATATTGTGCCTTACTTGTACATTTAAAACTAAATGTCTTCATTCCCTTCCATTTCCTAAATCTTTAACTTTGATCTTTTTGGTAAGAAAACTAGAGCTATTACAAAAGCATCATGAAGGATTTCAGATGGGTATGGTTTCATATTCCCTCTCTTTATATTTTATATTTGTATGAAAGACCAGTTTTGAATGGTCTTTGAATATGAGGGGGGAAAGATTAGCAGCAGTTTCACTACATACATCCCTTTTCACTTTTATGAATTTGTCATACATCTTCTTTCTGATGCTTGACTTTATTTGCTTCCTAGCGATAGTCTGCATTTAGAGAAAGATGTGTTCAGTTAATTTGTTTGAAATTGAATATTTCATTTCCCAGAACTTTTTAGAGAGAAGAGTACCCATTTTGTTTGTTTTATATAACAGATGACAAGTCTCTTTAAAAGAAACAGAAGTACAGTACTTTTGGAATACAATGCTGTTAGTTTGGATTTCTTTTTTATATATAATATTCATACAATTATCTGATGTTTGCCTTCATTAATAAAGCTGTTAGTTTATTCACCAAAATGTCAAGAATGGATGTGCTTTTCTTTATTCAACACATTTAAAATTATTTTAGCTGCTAAGATTTAGCTAACTTTCTAAGAAATGAATTCAAGTTGCCTTCAACAGGAATTAATAAAAACTTGTGTTCCCTTTCTTTATATAGTCTTCCTAAAATTCTGTTTAAGTATGTTCTAGTTAATTATATAACAATGTTAGCATCTCTCCAGATCTTGAAACTTGAATTTTGAGAATGCATTGAATTACGCTTTCAGTGTTAAAAGGTTTCAATTATCCTTCTAGTGAAGTCTGTCGTGGAATACCACTTCCCATGGAACTGAGGCCATTTCCACAACTTTGCACAGAACTGCAGTCTTGTTCTTCCCTTGGATCATGACAAATAAGTCTCACACAGTGCCGTAATACTTGTGGATTCTTTTGTAATCTTTGTAATCTTAATAAGGGCATTATGAGAAGATGACTCCATGTTTTTTAATATTTCAAACATATTGGGATGTAACAATGAATGTCAACTGTAGGAATGGTTGTTTCGTTTTAAGGAATAAGCATGTTGAGGAAAGATAATCAAAATGTACTACTGAAAGTTATACACTTCCATAGGCAAGTGGGGTTATGTGTTGAAGCATAGTCCTCATGCTTAATAAACTGACTGAATTAATAGAAATATAATAACACCTAGAGACTGAATTATGCCAAATTGCCATTTTTGCTTAGAAAGGATTTGGAGGTGGCAGTAAAGAAATAGAATCTTATGACCACTTCCAAATAGTATTTTGGAATTGAAGACTTGGTGACTAAAAAGAACATCAAAGTTGGTTATTTCAGTGTGCCAAGTTCAGAAGAACTAGGTTTGCCTCTTTCATAACAGTGTAAACACAGTGGTGTAATTAACTCAGTTTGGGGTGGATGGGAGCAAGACTGATTACTGTGTCTTGCCCTTCACCCTTTGTTTTTTTCAGAACCAAATAACATAAATGTGTATATGTACTGTATCTGCCTTTCCATCACATTTTTATGACACTGTATTCCATCACATGCTTTTTTACTTTCTTTATGGTTTGTCCTATAGCTTAGCATTTATGGTTAACAGTGATACTAGGGCTGCCTGCACAGAAGTCACAGAAGAGCAGAAAGGCAAGAATTTGAAGTATTTGTTTCTACAGTGTGGCAACCTCTTTGGCATAGTTGCTTAGGATACTGTTTGTAATGGTATCATAAATATTCTGTGGCTTTATTTTTCCTCCCAGCTGGAGCTATGGCACTTTTTATTGGATTCAGTCTTGTCTCTTGTCTAGAAAGAATTTTATCTTGTTGACGCATGAGCTGTTTAAAATTATTCTATTCAATGTTGGTTAATAGTTGTGCAGTTTTCATTTCAGAAAAAAGGCAGTACAAAATTGCCTTTATTTTCTGTCACCTTCCAGCCCCTCAGCTCTAGTCAGATACAGATTCATCAGTGTATGCAACATCCTTTGTAATTTAAAATAAAAAAATGAAAAGGTTTTGAATTGTTTGCCTCATGTTTTCATCCTCCTTTTTCTACTGCCTTTCTTTGGCCTATAATTATACCTCAAAAGAATCTGTCCCAGAGAAGTTCCCAATTAAAGAAAGCAACAGATTCCTGATTGGTCTTCCTTTTAATATACAAAGAGCTAATATTTTTCCATACTTTAGAGTGATACCCAGTGAAATTTAGATACAACATATTTATCAGTATAACCATTGTCATTTTTCATAGTTGAAAACAATTCATTTTTTGTTTTTGATTCTTTGGGCAAATAATTCTTTCAAGGAAAATAAAATATTTGGAGTCTCTCCTGATTTAAAGGTTGGGATGTGTTTTGTGTCTTTAATCATTTTCATTAAGTCTTGAGGTTAGGTCAGGTATATACAATAGAGCCTTAAGCCAGAAGAAGGCCTCCACAGGAGTATGTGTTCTTCAGCCAGCAAACATTTGTTGAGCACCAACTCTGTCAGGACTTGTGCTATATATGAGCTTAGAGGAATTGAAGTAAAGGGTGAAGTAGTGGGCAGGCAGCATGTTTCCAGGGATTACAGGACAACACGAGCTGTTACAGGAAGCCAGAGAGCCCTCAGTACTGCATCCGGTGGACCATGTTAAGCTTGAGTCCTTGAACATAAGGGCATGTGGAGCTTTTGTTGGCATACAAGCTGAATCACCTCAGTATAGTCCCAGAAGCCAAGCATTTAGAGTTAATTGCACTCTTGGCACTTGGTGATAAATAGGTTGGGTTGCAGTTTGGACACTTAAGTCTCCTTAAAAAGTTCACTTCCCTTGGATCATGACAATAAGTCTCACACAGTGCCGTAATACTTGTGGATTCTTTTGTAATCTTTGTAATCTTAATAAGGGCATTGTCCAAGCCCCTTTTTGCTTCATTTGAGACTCATTTAGCTCCCACAAAGCAAAAGAGATTTAGCCTCCTGTGGACTGGTTTTGCTTCAGGACTTAGATCTCAAGACCACTCTTCACAGGAGCCTCAGTCTTGGTCCTGGGAACTTTAAGGAGCTGGGTGAGTCAAGTCTGTGTTGTCCTTAGAAAACTAAATCTGTGGGTAGCATCCAGTTAGGTGAGTCATTCAGTCACCCCTTATCATGGGACAGTGATTTTGAAACCAGGAGAGTTCTTTAGCCACAGGGCAGTGAAGAGTTTGAAAGAAAGAAAAACATTAGTTGGGACATGCCTTCACATCCCAGCTAAAAGATTCAGAATAAGAAGGTATTAAATGTCTTGAGGGGTGGGGGTAGCATTCCTTAAGCCCTTGCTAGCTGCTTTCCTGTTACGGAACCCAGCTGCTGCTCTCAAGGGCCAGTGAGGTTTGTGTCATGTCCATTATACAAAGGAGTCAACAAGACTCATATGAGGGGATTAGCTCTGGACCCAGCTTTGTGATTACTGAGCCCTAGTGCACATCCTAGTCTTGCTGTACCCCAGGGACCATTCACACTAATGGAGTAGGCCAAGTCATAGATAATATTTGGAAAGACGTTTGTGTATGAAAAAATAATGGACTTAGAATCTAAAAGCAGGGGCTTGGGGATTTAGCTCAGCGGCATAAGCACCTGCCTTGCAAGCAGGTGGTCGTGAGTTCGATCCCTGGTACCAGAAAAAAGAAAGGAAAAAAGAACCTAAAAGCAGAAAAGAACTAAAGCCAAAGTTTAACAGATGTCATAGCCAAAAATTAGTCTCACAAACTATGAAGGCAATAGGGAACAAAAGAGGATTGGAAGCAAATCAGAGTTGGGTGTGTGGGTCACCAGATTGTACACCTGTTTTTCAAGGATGGTCTCAAAAGGTTACAGGGTCACTTCTTGTTAGGAAGTGTAGTACAAGACTAGAAAAGGGCAGATGTCACTTCTTTAGCTGCTGCATAGGGATGCTACTGGGGACTGTTGATTGCATGAGAACTACCAACAAGAAGTATGTTGAAAGGTGGGGGGGGGGGAGGCTCAAGACATAGCAGATCTGCCCAGTGCAGGCTTTGGGATTTCTCCTTTGCCCAAAACACTGACGTCACTTGAATGTCCACTTGTTTCTTTAATAGTGTTAAATATTAAGGCATTGCAAGAAATAGAAATACATCTAAATAAAACTTCACTATGAAGTCTTGAATAGATGGAAAAATGCACCAACTTACATAGATGCAGACAACTTGAAGCTAGTTTACAGTTACAGTTGTAATGTCACCCTAATAAAATATACCAGCAGACTATTAAAAAGTTTATATAAGGAAAAAACAATAGCCTAAAGATAAAGAGGATAAGTGTTTAATGTTAGCAAATACTAAAATTCATTATAAAACTAAAAGTGCTGTTTTGGTGCATGAATGCATTGTACAGTCCAGCAGAACACAGTGGAAAGTTTGGAAATAGACTCAAATACAAAGATATATAAAATTTGGTATGATAAATGTCATCAGAACTAATGGGGGGAAAAAAGATGAACTTTTTAAGACAAGAGCATTGGAACCACTCATAAACATTTGAGAAAATGTTAAAGTTGACTCACTATACCTTGCACCATAAGCCAAAGTATATTTTTAAATGGATAAAGATCTAAATGTAAGAATAAAAAAACCAGGGGAAAATGTGGGCAGTTCCTTTAAATCCAAGGGGATGGGGAAAGACTTCCTAACTTGAACTCCAGTTCCAAAAGTCATAAGTGAAAGTTGATCAAGTCTATGTAAAACAAAATTAAACTTTCTTAAGATTAAGGTCCCAAAACATCATAAACTAAATTAAAATTATATATGCCAAAAAATGGAAAGAAAGACTGCAACTCATCTCTAAGAACTACTACTTCTACTAATAGCTTCTGGAAACTAACATGACAAAGACCGGTGACCCAGTAGAAAAATGAGCAAAGTGAATGCAGATAGTTCTGAAATATAGGAAGAATTCCTTAACCTCGTTCATGGTGAAAAATACAAAATTAAGACTTTAAAAACCTAATCTGGTTAGTAAGAATTGCAATGTTAACACATCCCATTGGCAGGGCCATGGGAAGCAAGTATTTGTATCAGCCCTTTGGGAATATAAACATAAAACCCCTCTAAAGAGCAATTTGAAGCCAGCTGTTGCGGTACACACCTGTAATCTCAGCACTTGGGTGAGTGGGCTGAGGCAGGAGGAAAAAGCCAAAACAAAAACAATTTGGTAGTATGTGTCAGAATTTTATCTTACATTCTTTGGCAACTCTCCATTGTTCTGGAAAAGTCACTTTCTCTCCTGTTTTATCTCCATAGGGTTATGAGAGTTGCGTGGAATGAAGCATAGGAAGCACTTGGTAAAAGGTTCTCTAGAATGTTGGTTAGTGATACAATAAGGAACAGGCATGGAATTCTTACCATTGCCACATTGCACTTTATAACTTCTCATGTATTATTTAATTCTCCAACTAATGCCATGAAATAGGTACTGCTGATTATCACCAGTTAGCCTCTGAGGAGCCTGAGGCACAGCAGGGGATGGGGTGTAGAACAGAATTCCAGCCTGAACAGATGTCCATGTGTGTGATACACTGCTTCTCTGGTGCAGTGAGGTGAGGAGGAGGGTGTGTTGAGTGCTGTAGGAACACGGGTAAGCACGTAGCCTGGTTGTATCACAGTACCCAAGGGGCCATATTTTTTTTTTCTCTGTTTTTCTTTTTTTGGTGGTTAGGGATGGAACTCAGGGCCTTACTCATAAGCACTGTACCTCTTACCTACCCCATCTTTCAGCATCCACAGGGCCCTACTGGTTTTCGAAAGAACAGGTGGCTTTCAGACAAGGCTTAGCTGCTTTCAAGTATTTGTGGGGCAGTGTTTTTTGTTTTGCTTTAATCTACTTTCAGTTTGTCTCCTGATGTATATAACCAATTTCAGGGTAATTGTGAGGATTAAAAGAGATGAACCCAACAAAGCACTTAGGTTCTCACAATCTCTGCTTGCTGGAGTGAAATGAACCAAAGTAGATAGGCCTTGATCAAGGTGTCCTGTAGTGCAAGAGCACTTGCCCAACATATACCAAGCCTTGGTTCAATCCTGAACACCATCACCAAAAAAAAAAAAAAAAAAAAAAAAGCAGACGGAAGGAGCAAGTTGGAGGAAGCATTCAAACACCATATTCCAAGGCTACAGAATTGTAAAGAACCTGAAGAACCCAGGAAGGGGTGTGTGTGGGGGGGGGGGAGAAGGCAGTGGTGGACGGGGTAACAGCTGATGTCCTTGAGGACCAGCTAAAAAAGTTGAACTATGTAATAGTAAAGATAAAATAAAGAGAGCCACCATTTGCTGAAGGTTTGCTATCTAACCCAATTGGGCTAGGTGTGATGGTATACGGCTATAATCCTAGCTAGCACTTGGGTGGTGAGACAGGAGGATAGCCATGAATTTGACATCTGCCAGGCTTACATAGTGAGTTCAAGGCCAGCCTGAGCTACATAACTTGGCGCTGTGTTTAGAAAGATTCCCTGCCCCATGAGTTGGGTTGATTCAAAGATACTATAAACTGCTTGGGATTTCAGAAATTAAAAAAAAAGTGCTTATAATTTTTATTTTACTTCACAATTCATACTGAGGAAAATGAGAAATACAATAAAGTTTTAAAAAATTAACTGCATCTTCCAGACACTTCCCAGTTGATGACTTTTCTGCTATTACTTTTCTGCAAAAAACATGCCATTAGGATGTTGGATAGGTGAAAGATGGAAAGTGACCACTATTAAGAGTTCCTGATATTCTCTTTTCTCCTTCGTTTTATTAGGATCAAACCCTGAGGAGAGACCAGTTTCTCACCATGTTTCAGGGAAATGTCCCCAGTGTTTCGTGCGGCTACGCTCACTTGCCTCTCACTTCGGGCTTCAGGGGGCGTTTCCTTTGGGTGGGGCGAATAGGAAAGAAAGCGCCGCGAGAACGCGATTGAATTTGGGCCCCGCCGCTACCCGTAACTGACGTCTCCAACATGGCGGCCCCTCAAGATGTTCACGTCCGAATTTGTAACCAAGAAATTGTCAAATTCGACCTGGAGGTGAAGGCGCTTATCCAGGTACTAATTTTTGGGATCTTTCTGGAATCCAGCAGTCCTCAGGTGTCGCTGGTCTCCTCTGAGCTCAGTAGTTTTCCTCTCGAACTTTCCCCAGGCCACTGACTCCGCCTCAAGGCCAGCCATTCTGTTCCTGTTTGATCTAGTCTGGTCTTTATTTCTCCTTCAGGTTGCTTTCTTCTGAGACACCTGTATAACCCTTAACTCTCACCTGTCTGCCCCGTAATGGTCCCACCCAATTCTTGGCTGGCCCTCCGCCCCTCAGCACCTCACTACCACCTGTCACCCACCTGACACCTTCTTCCTTCGTCTGGTGGTGTCCCAGAGGTCATTGATATGCCCTCTGCCCACTAACTTCGGTGCGTCTGGTGCCTCGTGGCACCCAAGGCTATCTGGCTTGAGAGTCACTGGCAGTCGTGAACATAACTTGGACTTTAGTTGCGATTTTGTAAATGAAGAAATTGAATAATTTGCCAACGACAGGCTCCGAAGGCAGACAGTGACAAAATTAGGAACTAGACGGGGAAAATACACCGAGGAAAAGAACCGTAGAATGTTTCTAACCTGTTTAACGGGGAAATGAGATGTTTCTCCTTAAGTCATTCAAAGGTAGGAAACAGAAGTGCAGTATACAGTTGACATAGGCAAGAATTAGGAATGTAGGTGTGGCTTATGAGTTTAACGAAAAGAAACCGAGAGTTTAAAACCTTAGTTTTAAATAAATTGTTTTCCTTTCTGACAGATGTCACCAGACATTAGATATAATCTGAGTTTGGAACAGACTGTAGCAAAATTGTGAAGCAAAGTAGATTGCCCTCAGAGAATAAATCTTATTAGTGGCTTATCATCTACCACAAGGAATTGTGGTGTTACAAACCAGAGAACACATGAAGAAGCTAATTTCTTGAATTTCACTTCCTGGTCATCTCAACTGCAAATCTCTGGGACAATTCTAGGAAAATAAATATAGGTTAGATTTATGCAAGTGAAATTGTCAGGGGGTGAGGTTGTGGTTCAGTAGTAGAGCCCATGCTTAGCATGTGCAAGACTCCAGCACACACACACACACACAAATTATCTTCATTCATCATTATACCCTCTGTAGCGTTTTTTTCTTCTGATTGCTAACGAGAAAGAGTGATCAATTATAAATAGATACGCTGCAGTCTTACAGTTTTCTGGCTGCTCTGCTAAGTGCTTTAGATATGTGATCTTGAGAGAGGTAATGTGAGAGGCACAGATAATTTAACTTTTTCTAAGGTTTCACAGCTAATAAGTTGCTACATCTAGGATTTGAATACATGTAGTCTGACTCTAGAGTATGCTTTAAAACTTGGTCCAGTAATTCTGAATTTGTCTCCAGAAACAAGTTCTACATCTACCCATAAAGAAATCTATAAACAGACAGCAAATTGTACCAGATGGCTTGTAAAATCAGACTAAATTAATCTTGTCATACACTGCCAGTAATTTAAGCATCCTGATTTTCAAGTTGAAAATATCTGGAGTTGTACTATCACTTTTGAATCCATTCTTATTGGACATGCAAGCTGCTTTAAGGCTTTTATACTTGCTAAGTGATGATTGTTAAATTTTAGGGACTGATAATTTAGGTAAAGTTGTGTTTCTTCACATGCACTCATATTATCTTTTTTTTTTTTTTGAGGCAAATGCTCTGCCATTGAGGTAAGCCCCCACTCTGCTCTATATTATCTGTTCAACATTAAAGAGGAATGAGAAAAATGTAAATAATGTTTTTGTGTCTCAAGAGGTAAACAACACAGACCAGGATGAATTACAGTCAGGCCAACCATATTTGGGATTTAAGTCAATTTTCTTACTGTACATAATGTTGTTTTATTGTCTCCAGAAAGGCTCCTCATCTCTTCAATGTCTTATAGGATATTCGAAACTGTTCAGGACCCTTGAGTGCACTTACAGAACTGAATACTAAAGTGAAAGAGAAAATTCAACAGTTACGACACAGAGTACAGGTGAGCATGATTGCAGAACCAAGGTTCTGACAGTGGATAGCAATGAAGGGGGCTCAATCATGAGCATAAAACTGAGAATTCTCCAGGTTCTTCAGGTACTATCCAGGGGGAATAGTGAACAGATAGTAAAGGTGACTCTACAATTAACCTGTTCTTTATTTATAACTGAGAAACTGGCATGCAGGTTGGGATTTTTCATCTTGAAAACCCTGAGGGCACTTCTAACTATTTTCCACCACTCTCTCCAACCCTTTCACTCATTCCCCACCTCAGTCCATCAGTGGTTTTCTGTTGGGTATTTTTGTGCTGTCATGTTGCCCAGAGTCTTCCTTTCTGTTTCTGAGTCACAGTTACATCACGTGCACATGAACACACCTGAATTCAACTATGGTGTATGTGCTGTCTCCAAACGGGTGAAAAGGACCAATTTAAGTTACATTTTACTGCTGTGCCATCATGAGGGTGAGTTGGGTAATGTGGGTCTGCCTGTCTCAAGTGAGTCTGGAGGCACATGGTCTTACAGCATGGTGAAGACTTCAAATGACACAGTCCCAAAAGTCAGCCAACAGCTTTGTCATTACCTATCACATGAAGACAGTCTGTTCCAGAGCTGCCCAGTTGGGCTGCTGAGAGACCCTATGTCTGTGTCCTGTGTGTTGCCTTCCCATAGGATTTTCAAGGGCAATTTGAAAACAAGCAGTTTTAGCTCTGTCACTACACCTAGTGGAGCTCTTTTTGTCTTCACCTCTAGCACTGATTTAATAAGCTTAATTTTTATTTACCTATTATTTTTACTCTTTGTAGTACTGAGGATCAAACCCAGGGACATATGCATGCTAGGTACATGCTGTACCACTGAGCAACATCCTCAGCCTAAGTTTTAATTTTTGAAACAGTGTTACTTTCACATATCATGTTTTAATTATGTGTGTGTACACAAATGTTAGCATACATGAAAAGTCTCACTGTGCTTACTCCTTATTGTTCTCTGTTCCTCTCCTCCAAACAGCTAATTACTTTTATATATAACTGTATATATTTCCAGTTTCTATACTCAAATATTAAAAAATACAAATATATTTCCTTATTTCTTTCTCATTTCTTATCTACAAGTTAACATACTATAATACTGCTTTTCAAAACTTAGTGTATATTGAAAGACTTTGCATATCAGTACCCAGAGATTTTCTGCACTCTTTTTGTATGGCCATCAGTTTTTTTAGTTTGTTTTGTTTTGGTTTTTTGAGACAGGGTCTCTCTATGCATTTTAGGCTGGTTTTGTCCTCATTTTGTAGCCCAGGCTGGTCTCGAACTTATAAAAATCCACCTGCCTCAGCCTCCTGAGTGCTGAGATTACAAGAATGTATCACCATGCCTGGCTTTTAGCCATCAGTTTTGTAACTATTACTTTAGGGCATTTATTTGAACTGCTTCCAGTGTTTGCTTTTTACGGCTAATTTACATGTGTTATGTACATGTACCAACTCCCCATGATAAATGAATTGTGTACTGCAAACATGTACTAATAAAATTTTTTCAAAAAAGCTAATTTGTTTTCTGAAAAACATTTCTTCAATTCAGCATGACACATCTCCTTGAGCATAAGTATTTTCTTCTATTTACTTACATGCTTGCCTTATGTTTATTTCCTTCACTAACGTAAATTACTTCACCATTACCGTTCATATTTATTGTGCTTCCTGCCTCTGACTACATTAGCTACCTGAACACAAGTGTGTGGCTGGCATCTAGCAAGCTGATGAGCACATGGTCAGTGAATAAATGACTCCGTCCCAGCTTTTCTTTTTCTGTTACTGAGAATCAAACTCAACCTTGTGCTTGCCAAGCAAGAGCTGTGCCATTGAGCTGTAGCCCCACCATTTTTTTTCTTTTTTTTTTTTTCCTTTTGTGTTACTGAATTGACTCCAGGACCTTGCATGTTCTAGGCAAGCACTCCACCATTAAGTTTTTTTAAAAAATTTTGTTTTCAAGACAGTCTTCTTCGGTTGTCCAGGCTGGGTTTGAATTTGCCATCTTTCTGCCTCATTCTCCAGGATAGCTGGGGTTACAGATGCGTCCAACCAGTTGCACTTGTTGTCCCACTTCTTACCTACATTTCCTCAGTATTTACCAACTCTCATTACACCTGGAAATGTATGCAAGATTTCTGTTTGATGTTTTTAGCTCTCATTTATGAATATCTCCTGTGTACTTATAACAAGATTGTGTGATACTAGAAGATATCTGGTCCCATATCAAAGTGTGCTGTTCTATACATAGTCATTGTTAGACATAGACTATATGTAAGTATCTGTGATTGTGTGTACCTGTCTTTGGGCATGTAGGTCTTAAACTGAAATTTGAGAATTACTCTATCCCCTGTCTTTTTGCAGAACTAGTGCTGGTTCTCTGCATCAGAACTTCCAGGAAGCCTTTAATGAGGAAATTGTACATTTCTCCCTCCTTTCCTCCTTGCATCCCCCCTTCATCCTGGGGATCCATTCTGCCCTTCGATGATTCAGTACCTAGTATCATCCTTATGCTACAGCATAAGGAATCAATGTAGTAAATAACCCTAGGTACAGTTCTTTCAGTGAACTTGCATTCTAGTAGGGAAATTAAGTTTTAAAGAAATAATTCTGAAGGTAACTGGTAACATTTTCAAAAACTTTGCAATTCACAGTCAGTGCCTTTTCTTTGCCTTAGCAATATTGGGGGGGATAAATTTGAAGTAATTTTTGAACTGTTGAGATGTAGATACACACACTTACTGCAAACCAGCACACACAAATTAGTATATAAATATCTAAGTGAGGTAATATGTTTATTTTTTAGATCAGTGGGTTGATTGAAACTGGAACTTGTTTAATTTGTAAACAAAAGTATATGAAGAGACTTGTGGTATCTCTTTGTCTCAAGTGTGCTTGATGGTTCCATAATCTGAAGTTCTTTGGGGTCTAATACTACTGGTTGTCACATCTGCTGTCCTTTATTCATGGTAGGTTGTTTCTCTGGTGTTGGTTATTTTGGAGCTCTGTGAACATTTATCTGCAGGTCTTCCTGCAACTTTTTGTGTAGCCTAGATCCAGGGCAGGTCCTTTGGAGATTTTCATTTTTCCTTCTGTCAGCTCTCCTGAGATTGTCACAAGCCCAGGGAAACATTTTATGTAAATTTCTCTTTTCATGGGGTTTCTGAGTTACTAAAGGAAAATAAATTTGAACCTTATATCAGTGTCAAAGAATCTTCTTAATTATAAATTCTCAGGCGATATTTTTATTTTTAATCCTCTAACCAGAGACCACAGCCCAATATAGACAAGTGCCTGTGTTTTCACTATGCTGGTGGATGGACATTTCCCTAGACTTTTTTCTTGAGGATGTAACCTTTTAAAGGTCCTAGATTTTTGGTGTTCTTACTTCCAGTTCTAAGCCTTAGGTGGCCTGAAGCTTTGTTTTTCTGCTCTACCTGAACTTTGAAAACCCTCAAACTATTTTTAACTGATCTTTGATAAAATAAATACAAAATATTGAGAAAGAATATTTACTTTTGTTTGTTTTGAGACAAGGTCTTACTATGTAGCGCAGGTTGGCCTTGAATTCTATTGTAGCCCAGGCTGCCCTCGAACTTGCAAGGATCCTCTTGTCTCAGTCTCCCCAGTGCTGTGGGAGAACATTTGGAAACATGGTTGTTTGACACTCCTGTGATATCTAAGTATGGGATCAGTAGGCTAACGTTTCATAACTTCTTTTCTTTTTATTTCAGGCATACCTGAGATTATAGGAACAGCACCTCCTACTCCAGGGTAGCCATACATAGTATGCATTACTATGGCTGACCACTGTGAGTTACTCGTAGGCTGACTACTGTGGGTCTTAATTCCCTTCTGTCTTTTGGACCTAGGAATTTTCCTCACTTGCTTGCAAACTGAGCTATGTATTTAAAAGGATATGTGTTATGTATTACTTAGCATTCCTGGGTGTCCTGTTTTAAAAGGGTACTTCAAATGTAATTGTGTGCCCTTGCTAGAAATAGAAGTGCTTTTCTGTTTTCGTATTGACTTTTAAAATCATTTTAACATAGAGCTATTTTCTCCTCAAAGGAGCTTGAGCAGTTGGCTAAGGAGCAAGACAAAGAGTCGGAGAAACAGCTTCTGCTCCAAGAAGTGGAAAATCACAAAAAACAGATGCTCAGGTAGGCCTGGCCTCCTGCCAGCTGCCTGTACAGGTCACTTGCTCCCCATGAAGCTTGTGCATGTGTTTGCTTAACAAACCCGGTTCATTGGTGACTTAATTGTGTCATTTACATACAAGTTGAATGTCCTCTCTAGATCAGTAATTCTCAAATAGAAGAGAGGAGGGGTAAGCAGAGCATATGTTGGCAGCTGGAGCTGTGCATAGTTTACAAAAGCATATTTAACATTATACTGTATTGTACGTTTTTGAAAAAAACCGAAAATTATGGATCAATTTTATCTAATAATAATTTGCACTAGAAAAAGACCATCAAAGGTAAACCTACTTAATATAGACCAAAATTTAGAACATTTTGAATATCTGGAACATTTTGTTATCTGGAAAATGACACAAAAAATTGTAAGTAAATAAACTTATGTTAAGCAAATTTGAAAGTTTAATTGCAGCTGTGCTAATCTTGGATTATAAAACTACAGCTACTTGCTATTTTTTGATATTGAATAGGAAGAGGTATAGTTTTCTAACAAAATTGTCTTACAACATGAAATACTACCTGTCTCTTCACACTTGATTTTCATATCATAAAAATTATAGATATAAATATGCTTGGTTTATTTGGTGCAACGGATTAAGCCTAAAACCTCATATGTTAGCATATATTCTACTACCAAACTATACTCTCAGCCTCCGTGTATATTCTATTAATCATTTCCAGGGATAAAGACCAATGTACTATTGATACTTTGATTTACCTGTTCACTGGTATTCAGGTCATTCTTTTTTTGAAGCTCCTGCCATCTCAGCATTCTCATAGATTTTTTTCTTTGTTCCTCCTTTTTTTTTTTTTTTGGAGGGGAGAGGGTCCTGGGGTTTAAACTCCGAGCCTTTGCACTGAGCTACCTTCCTGGCCCAAATTTGATTTTTTATCTTTTAGTCTTTTTGAGGCAGGGTCTCACTACACAGTTGAAGCTGTCCTTGATTCACTTTGTAATCCAGGCTGGTCTTGAACTCGCCATAGTTCTGCCCTCAGCTTCCCAAGTGCTAGGATTATAGGCATGTGCCACCATGTCCAGCATGTCCAGTTTTTATTTTTTGAGACAGAGTCTTCCAAAGTTGTTTTTGTTTGGTGCTGGAGATTAAACCCAAGGTCTGAACATTAGCATGTACTCTACTACTGAACTATACCCCAGCCCCCATGTACTTTCTTTCTCCAAGCAGGGCTTGAGTTTAGGATCCTCCTACCTCAGCTTCCTAGAGGCTATACCAGGCCTGGGTTCTCTTTGTCCCTTGTTCATTCCTCTAACTCTGTTTGTGGCTTTGTTTCTGAGTTGAATAATCCTCCAACATCATCCTCACTGACAATAACTGTAACACCCTGTCATCAGGAGATAGCTGTCTAGCAGCAATAGGCATGTGGAAGCCAGTGAGAGCAGGGAGGAGTGTAAGTGACGAGCCTTGTTCCAGTACTTGTCCTAGTGATTACCTTGTGTTATGATGGCAAGTTTCTTTCGTACCCCACCAAAGGTACTCACATCATAAACATAGAGTGGAGAGGGGCCCTTGTAATAAAGTATAGTAAATTACCCTAGACATATCAACGTAATGTTGCCTTGAAGCTGAGAATGGCCATTCATGGTGTGGAATTACAGGTTAGAAGTCACAAAGCAGTAGATTAGTACTTGGCCAGGTGTATGTTATAGCAGCAGTTGTGCTTGCTTAGGTTATCCAGTAAGGATTTGTGTGCTTGTTTTCCCTTCATAAATGTGAACCTCTTGAGGGCAGGTACTGTCACTCATTCATCTCCCTATCTTGGGGCCCTATACAACTTCTTTGCAGACAGTTTGATGATGTAGTTGATTCTTTTTAAATGGCAAGAGGGAAATGGCATAGCAGATGCTGATTTAGGTATCAGAGAGCACATTTAAAGACCTTTATCATAGAAGCACCATTAGAAAAGCACTTACTAACATTCATGTATTCTGTTTCATTTGTATTTCTTTCTTTTTTTTTTTTTTTTTTTTGGTACCGGGGATCGAACTCATGACTGCACACTTGTGAGGCAGGTACTTATGCCACTGAGCTAAATCCCCAGCCCTGTTTGTATTTCATTCATTCATTTTTAGGGGGTGGGATTCAAACTTTGGGGGTTTTGCTCATGCTAGGCAAGTACTGTCTCTGACCTATATACCCAGTTTCATTTTTTTTTTTTTTAATCGGTATCGGAGATCGAACTCATGACCATGCACTTGCAAGGCAGGCACTTATGCCATTGAGCTAAATCCCCAGCCCCCCAGTTTCATTTTAATTCAGTTTAAAAAAATTTTTTTCTTCAATCAGATTTTATTAGCACATCTTAGATATGTATAATAATCACATTCATCATAGAGAATTTATACCTATACATGATATAGCTTGTTTTTTTTTTTTTTTTTTTCCCCAATTTCTCTACCCCATTTTAATTTTTGAATATTTCCAGGGGTAGGACAGTTGATTTGAGCTGGCTGTGTAAGAGATCTAGAACACAGGTTTCAGCCTCAGGGATACAGTTAGCTTTTTATAGGTCTGTCAGTAAAGGCTTATATTACTGGCCTCAGCAGGCGGCTCAACAAATTTGAGTTATTCCTCAAGGAGATTAGGTAACAATTATGAATAAATCATGTCAATCAATACAGTATAGGACAATATACTTTATATCATCCATGATAGATCTGTAGTATATAAAGAACAGCAAATCTTAGAGGAATAGTGCAAAAGAATGGCTCTTGTGATCTTTTTACTTTCTAGAACAACATATATTCATGAAGTAGCTAAGGAGCTAGAAATGGTGGTTCTAGGTACTGGAGGTGAGAGATGAGTAGTAAGTTGTGGTTCTCAAGAAATGGCATATCCAGGTCCTTAGATGTCACTTGACAGAATGGGGCCTTGTACACCCAGTTGGGTGGTTGGGATCTTTTACTGAAGTCTGGAGCCATTGAACCACGTCCCTGTGTCTTTGAGATGTCTGAGAGGAGAAAGATGACAGAATATCTTGGAGACAGCTTCCGGGATCCAGAGAAGAGGTGTTAAGACTTGAAGTAGAATGGTTACCAGAGCAACACCAAGGAAGAAGTGTCAGGAAATAGCGATGGCTGCATTGCAAGGTGAACTATTGTGATTGGAACTAACAATCTGATGGAGCCAACAGAAGCTCACTGTGACTCTTCCCTTCCAGCAACCAGACTTCATGGAGGAAAGCCAATCTCACTTGCAAAATTGCAATTGACAATCTAGAAAAAGTAGAGCTTCTCCAGGGAGGAGACCCCTTAAGACAAAGGTATCTGTCTTTCTATGTGTCTGGGCTCTGTTAACAGGACAGGTGACAATCGTCATGAAGTAAAACCCTCATAAGGAGTCCCCTCTTGTTTTCAGCATAAGTTCATAATAATGTTATAAGTAATACTTTTTCAAGTAAAATGGTAAAATAAAGAAAAATATGAATTAAAAAATGAAAATAAGCTATTATTGTTCATGAACATTTTGGTATGTTGCTTTTTTATTTATTTATTTGACTTGGGGCCTTGTGTTTGCCAAGCAGGCACTTGTGCCACTGAGCTATACCCCCAACCTTGCCCTCTGGTATCTTACTTTTCCTTGTTATTTTTCCTTCCAAAACTTTTTACACCCAAAATTGTATCATATGTAAAGCTTAGTGTCTTGCTCTTCTGTATTCAGTATTATAACACAAAACCTTGCTTTTAAAAAAAAAAAACCCTCTTTGCTTGTTTATTTCTTTTGGTTTTTTAAGACAGTGTCACACTGTGTAGTTCAGGCTGACCTTGAACTCACTATGTAGTCCAGGCTGGTTCCGAATTTGTGGCTGTCCACCTGCCTCAGCCTCCCAAATACTGGAATTACGTGCATGCACCCAGCTTTAAAAAACTCTTTAAATATAATTTTAACAGTCCATAGTTTGTTATTGTATTAACTAATCCTGTTCATATACGTTTATGTTTGTAGTATTTCAGTATTTTAAGTAATATCCCAGAGCAGGTCTTTAGAAGGTGAGCTTTTATCCACATTTTAGATCATTCCTTTGAAGAGATTTCCAGGAATGAGATTAGTGGGTTAAAAATGACCAGTTTTAAGGCTCCCAACAAATTGCTTTGCAAATAGCTGCCCAGTTTCCGTCCCTACTAGTTGTCCAGAAGAATGTGGTCTTGCATACACTCTTGTCAACACTGACACTGAATACATACTAATAATAGGTTAACAAAAATGGCTCTCATTCGAATGTAAGTGTTTCTTGAAGCAAAGCTTTTGTTAACATTTCTCCTTCCTTCTTGGGACTTTTAGGAAAACCACCAAAGAGAGCCTGGCCCAGACATCCAGCGCCATCACAGAGAGCCTCATGGGGATCAGCAGGATGATGTCGCAGCAGGTCCAGCAGAGCGAGGAGGCCATGCAGACTCTAGGTAAGGCAGGGCCTGGAGTGGGAAGCTTTCCCCAGAGACACCGCCACCAGGGCACTCAACACTCCCTCTGCCTATCTAGAGCTCCCCATTATGTGTAGTTCATATGCCGGTCCTTGATTAAAATCCCATCAGGACCTTATCTTAAAAACAAAAAAGCCTTTTAGGGAAGTGAATCTGCTACAGGGGGATGTGAGGGGAATGAATCAGGATAGGAAGAGGACGGCATTGCTAGAGGGTTGGCAGTTCCTGGGTGATAGGCATGTAGCATTTCATGATACTGTTCTAATTCTGTGATGGTTGCAGATATTCCACAAGAATAAGGATTAAAAAGAAAGGTCTTGGGGCCAGCGATTTAGCTCAGCAACGTAAGTGCCTGCCTGGCAAGTGTGAGGTTTTGAGTTCAATCCCTGATACCAAAAAGAAAAAAAAAAAAAAAGAAAGGTCTATTAGGTGTTCATTTAACAAGTTCTTAGGTTTTGAAATGGCAGAGGCATGGAGAAAGAGGCTGAGAGAGACTTTGTTATGTTTGTTCGTTCGTTCCTTTTGTCTCACTGCTCTCATTGTTGTTTCCTCCCATAATGTATTTATTTTGTTTTTACACGTGCACATACGCATGTTCCTGTGTTTGTGTTACTGGGGATTGAGCCCAGGGCCTTCACACTGAGGTACATCCCCAGCTCTTTTTTCTTTTGAGAAACGGACTCACTGAGTTATTAAAGTACCCAGGCTGGGCTCAACTTGTAATCCTCTTGCCTCAGCTCTCGAGAGTTACAGGTATGCACCACTATGCCCAGTTTATTTATTGGCATTTAATTTTCTGCAAAGGTAAGGAGGGAGAGAAAGTATCCTAGTGTTGCCCACTAGAAATGTAATGGGAGCTGTGTGTGTCACTTTAAATTTTCTAGTAGGCACATTATAAAAAAGAAATATGTGAAGTCAATTTTAATGGTTTATTTTCTTTAACAATCATATATAAAATGTTATCATTCTTATATGCAATAAAATATTATTGAGACAGTCATTCCTGGGTAACCGAATGACTGGTTCTTGGAATCACTATGGGCTCCAGAGTCCCTTCTGTAAAATAGTGCACTATTTGTACATCACCTGCACACTTCCTCCCACATACCTAACTCACCAGAGTACTTAGAACAATTGATGCATTATAAATAGTTGTCATACTATATTATTTAAGGTAGCTATAGCGACAGAGACAGGTACCCAAACTGTAACCCAAAATCCACTTACTGATCACAAAGTACCAACATTGCAATTAAACCTGAATACTGAGGTTTTAGTTTAGAAAAAAAAACAACTCATACATAAACTTTTTTTGTCTTAAAAGAAAATTAGCACGTGTGCTCTAAGTTAGCCCCCTCTGGTGTAAGAAATAATGACAAGAAAAATTCTGTAGTTGTTTATTATACATAAGTTTTCAGTGTATATTTTCATGTTATTGGTTTAATCCATGAATGTAGAACTGTGGACATGGCAGGATGCCTCTACACATTCAAGTTTTTGCAAGTCTTTGAGATCTTCTGTATATTTTATACTTGTAGTGCCTATAATAGCAGTACTCAGAGGCTGAGGCAGGAGGATTGCTAAATTTTACCCATTTCAAAATACACAAAACAAAAAGGTATCTCAATTTGAATTAACCACATTTTACATGCTTGCAAGCCACATATATATACAGTGTTTGTCACATTATCAGTATAAAAAGCAGTGTTGTGCTGGGTGTAGAGGCCTATTATCCCAAATAACAGCTGAACTAGCTGAGTTGAAAGGATTGTAAATTCAAGGTCCATTTGGGCGGTTTATTTTACTTTTTTTTTTTTTTTAAGAGTAGGGGTGTGTAATGAGAATTGAACTCATGACCTTGTGCTTGCCAGGCTGGCATATATGCCACTGAGCTATATCCTCAGCATTGGAGGTGGAGGGGGTACCAAGAATTGAACTCAGGACCTCACACTTGCCAGGCAGGTATTGTGCCACTGAGCTATATTTCTATCCCCACACCTGGGCAACTTAAGCAAGACCCTGTCTCAAAATCAAACAACAAAGAGCTAGGAATGCAGTTCAGTGGTAGAACTCTTGCTCTTACTCACTTGCTCTTGCATGCTAGCCTAACATGTGGGAGGCCCTGGCTTTAATCCCCAGCAGCCCTTTCCTTCCAACAGGTACCACATTGAATAATACAAAGAGATATTAACAAGGTAGCACTCTCTGATTCCAGCTGTTCCCTGGCCTGTAGCCCTTTGCACCTACTCCTCAAAGTCCACCACCATTATCAGCTTCTTTGATGTCCTTCTGATGTCTTCCAAGCCTATATAACACAAGCAGATGAAGTGGGGTTTTTGTTTTGCTTTTTTGGTACCGGGGGTTGAACTCATGAACTTGCGCTTGCCATGCAGGCACTTACACCACTAAGCTAAATTCCTGGCCAGATGAAGTATTATTTATCCCCTTTCCTCACATAAATGGAAACAGTTCGCATAGACTGTTTTATACCTTGCTTTTTCACTTATTTCATATGATGACTGTTTCGAGCATTATACTTCATAGGAAAACTGCCAGGTAAACCTTTTCCAACTGTTAGGCCAAGAAACTTACATTCAGCAGTGCATTTGAAAGCCCAGCCTGGTGGCATACACGTGTGATCCCAGCACTTGAGAGGCTGGGGCAGATTATTGTGAGTTCAAGGCCAACCTAGGTTGCATAGCAAGCCCTTGTCTCCAAAAAAACAAAAACAAGAAGTACATTTGACTCGGTGCACAAGGACCCTGTAAGGGACACCACCCTTTTAGGTGTCACACAGTGGCTGCAGCGGAGATGTCACATCTTTCAAACTGCTTCCAGTGTCCCAGGCTGAAGCTCTCAACCCATCCTTGTTCTTTAGTGGTCTGCAAAGGTAGGTCTGACCATCAGGTGTCCTGGAAGACCAGGCCACATTTCACTGTGGAAGATTCCATTGCCTCACAGCTCTTGACTCAACACAGCCCTCATGCTTCCTGTCCATGATGACCCAGGGTTTTTTTTTGTTTGTTTGGTACTGGGAACTGAACTCAGGACCTCACGCTTGCCAGGCAGGCACTGTTCACCCGGATAGTTTTGTGATGTTGTTGACAGCACCTGTCTGCTTCAGAGAGCTGAGGTGGGTGGTTAGATAAGCACCCTGCCTTTGCCCTTCTCGCTGGCCACCTCCATGTTCAAGGACTCTCAGACAAGCCACATCATGTTGGGTGGGATTTAGGGAGGAGTCCTGCCTTGTCAGGTCCTTACTCTTTGCTCTCCTAGGTAGTCTCAGTGACACTGGCCTCAGACTTCCTGTCTGACTGGCAGCAGATGGCAGAGCACACTCATTGGGACTTGTGCTATCCCTTCTCTGAGTCAGGCTCCCTCCCTCTTTTGTTTCAGTCAACTCTTCCCGAACTATCCTGGATGCAAATGAAGAATTTAAGTCCATGTCAGGCACCATCCAGCTGGGCCGGAAACTCATCACGAAGTATAACCGCCGAGAGCTGACAGACAAACTTCTTATCTTCCTCGCTTTAGCCCTATTTCTTGCTACTGTCCTCTATATTGTGAAAAAGCGCCTCTTCCCATTTTTGTGAGATCTGAGAGTTGCCACCTGTGGCCTCATCAGTCCTGCTTTCCAGTCTGTCCAGGATCTGAGCTCTGACCAACCTGCCAAACTGAGCCACATCCTCCACGAATGCTGCAGCTGCTCAGCGAGTCAGATGGAAGGAAACAACTCCCCAGTCTTCTGCAAGTGGACGCCTTGCAAAGTACAAGCAGAGCTGTGGGAAACAAGGACCTTACAGGACCCAGGGACTCTAAACTCATCCAGCCTTTGGGCCCTCGGGGTAGCTGCTGCGTGGGGCACCTGGAGTCCAGCCCTTGAGATGTGTTGCTCTTTTCTCCTTCACACAGAGGCTTAAGTGCCAGATGTGGAGGGGAGAGAGAAGAAGCAGGAAGAAGGAAGAACTCTTGGTCATTCCTTGAATAAACTTGACTTTATTTAATAGAGTGAAATATTTTTAGTTTCACAAGAAATATAAATTTCTGGGAATTTATATACCTCTTTTCTGATTTTGAGGACACAAACTTAGATATTATTCATTCACTGAACAAAGAATTAAGCAGCTACCACATGCCATGTGTCTTAGGTACTGTCGAACATTACACATATACTAGTAAACTGGGCAACAGAAATAAGACCTCACAACTCTTAGGAAGGGCAGTGCGAATAGTCGTCTTGGAGGTGGCTTACCCCAGCTTCCAAAAATGGCATGGTAGAGATTTTAGTCCTCTGTGATACTGTATCCTGGTGGCTCCTGGTTGTGTGCAGTAACCTAGGCACTGGCTGATACCTTTTTATCTGAGGTCCAGGCTGTGTCTAACTAAGGAGAAAGAAGCCAATGAAAACAGGCTCCTGTGGGCTGAGTTCTGTCAAACCTAGTCCTGCAGCCAGCACACACTCTGTGGCCCCAGAGGACCTGGCAGGGTTATGTGGGAGGAATGAGGACTTCAATGCTTGACTTGATTTTGAGTTTTGGCTATGCTGTTACAAACCACATGACTACGAACAAGTTACCTTCTGTCACTAAGCCTCAATTTCCCCCTGTGCAAAGTAGAGGTGATAGTCTACATAGACCCTTACACAGTCAGTTTGAAAATAAAAGAGAATCTGAAGTACCAGGCATGATATGTGTATGATGGCCTGGAATGGGCTTCCCAAAGGCTCTCTGGGCAGAAGTGTCCCATAGCAGTCAGTCCACGTACTTCCAGAAAAGCTGGCCAGGCAGAGGCAAGTTTTTGTTTTTTTTGGTGGTGGTGGTGGTTGTGGAGTTGTAATACTGGGAATTAAATCTGGAGCTCTATCTCCTACACTTTTTGTTTTTTTGTTTTTAACATCCCTATATAGTTCAACCTGTCCTTGAACTCATGAGCCCAGGCTGTCCTCAAACTTGAGGTGATCCTCTGCCCCATCCTCCTGATTGTTGGGATTACAGGTGTGTGGTACCAAGCTCATTTTATTTTTAGTTTTATGAGACTGAGTCTTGCTGTGAAATTCAGTTTGTTTTGAATTCATGACAATCCTCCTGCTTCAGTCTCCCAAGTGCTTCGATCACCAAGTGCTGCACCAGGTAGGCAGAGGTAATTCTGTTTAAGTCTCTCTGAGCAGAGAGTGTCAAGTTGGTACTTCTGTTATGAAGGGGCAAATCATCCCAGGACCAAGTTATAAGAGAGATCAGCTATAAGCCTCAGATCAGCTTATGGAAGAGATTCTGAGATAAAGTTTGTTTGTATCAGTATTTAACACTAGTCCACCTTCAGGGGTTGTGTTCTGGGTCCCCCAGTAGATGTGTGAAACCTTATGTAATACCAAACCAAATACACAAGCACTTCAATACTACAACAGTTGATCTGATATCTGAGGTTGCTAAGGGTTTGGTGAGTTGGTAGCATATACAGCGTGGATACTGTGGACAAAAGGATGATTCACCTGAATTTGATGGAGCAGGATTTCTTCATACTACTCAGGATGCTGTATAATTTAAATCTTAATAACCTCTTCATTGCTGGAATTTTTCCATTTAATGTTTTCTGACTGTGGTTGACCATGGGAAACAAACTGGAAAGCAAATCTGCAGATAAGGGAAGACCACTGTTCTCATTCATTTTTTTTCCCTCCCCGCCCCCTCTCATTCATTCTTATTCTCTCTTTTGTCTCTGTCTGTCTGTCTCTGTCTGTCTGTCTGTCTGTCTGTCTCCCCCCCCCTTTCCCCTCTCTCTTTCTCCATATATCATCCTTAAATAATTCCTGGACCCAAAAGACACTTGCCAGAAATTATACACACATGTGTCTTATTTATAGTCAAATTAAAGCTGAGAATAAGGCACAGATGGGAAATTCCCACTCTTACTCAGATTCCAGCTGTAAGTGCAGCAGATGGATGTTATCAAGTTGGGATTTTCTTGTCTTAACATTTCTCTTTAGTACGTCCCGCTAATTGTCAACATCCTCCTCACAATATGAAATGTGTGGGCTCTATACTCCCTAAACATTCTCCCTTTGACACTCTATACCTCTTTTATTTGCCTCCTGAAAATGGAGTCAAATTTGACTCATTTTGAAATGTCATCAATGTATCTTGCAACCCCGATCAGCAACCAGGTTTGAGTTTCCTAACCAGGCAGGCTGTGCAGAAAGCGGCCCTTCCACGTTCAACCATGAGGGGGCAGTGTCCACATTTGCTCTGCGATTTTTGCCGCATGCATGATCATCTCTATCTGACGGTGTGCAATTGTTATGGGTGGGCTTTTTTTTTTTTTTTTTTTTAAACCGAAATGGATGGAGTCTACCTATATTTTTGTTTTGAAGTGTGTTTCATTAGTGGCCTTAATTCTCATTGTTAAGCAGTAAGTCAAGCGCATGTACTACATTTTGGTTGGCTGATAGAATTAAAAATACAGAGCAGCCCTCAAGAGAGCATTTACTCAAGAAATTTACTGAGCCCTTACTATGTGGCAGGCATTTGTGTTAGGCATACACAGGGGCAGAACAAAGATGGAACACAGTGTGTGGGGAAAGGAGAGCAGATGATGAACACTTTATAAACTCATTGTGATTGAAAATACAGCCATCCCTCAGTACTCCTGGGTTCCACACCTGTGACCGACCAACCTTGGGTGGAACATATTCAAGTAATAATTGCATGAGCAGACCTTTTTCTTGTTATTATCTCCTAAACACCATGGTACAACAACTTTTTTCATAGCACGTATTTTAAGTAGTATAAGCCATCTAGACATGATTTAAAGTGTACAGGAGAATCTGCATAGATTCTATTCAAATACTGTGCCCTTTTATAGAAGGGACTTGAGCATCTGTTCCTTGTGGCTACCGAGGGTGACTGTTAAGCTCTGTGGGAAAGTTGGAGCAGGCTGAGGACACCTGCCACAGGGCTGGGGACAGGTTTGCAACATTAAGAGCTGTTAGGGTTGGCCTCACTGGGGTGAGAGGTGAGCAGAGACTGGAGGCAGAGGACACAGTCATGTGGACGGCTAAAGGAACAGGGTCCACCAAGCGGGAACAGCAGGGGTAAGGGGCAAGTTAGGAGCATTGCTGGCAGGTAGGAGTGCGGTGACCCTCACCCCGCCACACTTCCCTCAGCAGCAGTTGGCCCTCTGGGCGTTGTTTTGCCCAAAATCCCCCCTGCCCTGTGATACCACATGCTGTTGGTTTTTTCTGTTCAGTTCTTTTCAATTTTCCTTTATTTAAAAAAAATATTTTTGGAAGTACTGGAGATTGAACCCAGGGCCTTCCCACTGAATATCTCCAGCCCTTTTTAGTTTTTGAGACATATCTCAGAATTGCTAAGTTACCCAGGCTAGACTCAAACTTGTAATTCTTCTGTCTCAGCCTCCAGAGTGCTGCAACTGTCATTGATTTTGTCCTTCTATTCAGCCTTAAATGGCAGCTTTGGTCTTGTGTCCCTACCCTCTGCAGCATACTCATGTCCATGTCCCTGCCGCTTTAACCATCAGCTGTAGGCAGGTCATTCATAATTCTGAATTTAGAGCAGCAATGCCGACTTCTCAGGGAGCAATGCCCCTGAGTCTTCTCAAGCCTGCCTGGCCTCAGTGGCTCCTCCAACCCCACAGCCTGGGCCTCCGTGGGAGTCCCTGTGTTCTCCGCACACTTCTGCTGCCTGAGTTCTGTTAGAGCTCAGGCCATCCTGCCCCAAAATATGGCTCTGTGGGAGCGAATACACCATGCCAATGTGTACTCCTCTGCATATTTTGAGCAGTTATACTGGGAAACCACAGGCCTTGGAGTGACTCCAAAAAGCTGTCCTTTTGCGTCAGACATTTGCATCTCTAGAGTGAATCTACATTCACGGATACCTTTATGGGGAACAGGGCTGCTCCAGACAGTTCTGACTACCTGAGAGATTTTATCTCACATTTAGCCAGCAGACACTTCTCCCTTACCCTCACACGGCTCTCAGAGAAAACAAGCTCTTCATAGTGAGTTTGCGCCAAGTGAAAGTAGGAAAAGAAATATTCCCACAGTGTGAGGGTGGATCACCGTGCAAGAGAAACACAGTGGCAAAAACTCAACGTGGACGTCCTTTCTATCAGGCTGAGGACAGTCTAGGCATCCTATCAAACACTTGCTTGAGGGCCAGGGCTTTAGCTCAGAGGCACAAGCCTGGTAAGCACGAGGTTGAGGTCGTGAGTTTGATCCCTGGTACCAAAACAAAAGAAAAACCAACCAACAAACAAAACCCAAACACTTGCTTGACTTCTGAGAAATTCAAGTGCAGGGCTTTGGGAAACCTTCTGCCCATGTCTTCCAGGATCTTCTCACACCTGTTTTCCCAGTGTTGTAGCCATTCTCTGCTCCTTAGTGTAGCTCTGTCTCTAGTCCCTTTTAGTTTGGTTATTTTGCAGTACAGCCATGTGCATAATCAAGTATGGTGGCTCTCCTGTTAATCTGATTTATTCCTTTAACTCACAGCCTAGCTGAAGACCTTGAAGGGTAAAGGGAAGCCATGGTTTTCTCCACTGGCATCACTTCCCTTCACCAAGCTCAGGTCCTGGTACCCTGATTCACAGAACCGAAGAGAAGGTTTCATTTATGCAGCAGACAGGTGTCAACACTTCCAGAAAGGAAGGCCTGAATACCTTGTGTTGTTGGCCAGAAATGCCCAGCTGGAGGCGGTCTCACAGGAGCACTCAATTTGGAGATGTTTCTAAGGGAAAGAGACAGTTAATGAAGTTTTAAAAAGAGTGTAAAACAAGTTATGTTTTCTTACTTGGCTAAGGGTGGTTTTCCTGGGGCCCTCCCTGAGGGTTTGCCCAGGCTCTGTTTCTTCCCTGAGCAAGGGCAGAATAAAAATAGCTGAGGTCTAATCTAAGAGATAGCACTGGGGTGGCTCAGCAGTGTTATCAGACATGAAGGACTGCAGCCTGGGGGCAAAGGCAGGGGCTGGTGTTGTCAACCCCAATGTCC